TTATTAGTCACGTTAGAAAGACAAATGTGACTTTTTTTATCATCTATCTTGAAATATTGGACAAGTTTTCACCTGTCAAGATGATAAGTAGTAATCAGATACCATTCTAATATACACAATGACACAATTTTAATTCACTACATGACTTCAGGTATACAGTAAGATTAGTTGTGAGAGATTCATCATGGTAGACGTCATCATTATGGGATTTCTAGAGTGAGCAAAATGTTTGATAAAAAATATTGTTGTGTTGTTTCTAAATATAAACATATAACAAGTTGCTGTTGTAATATAAGTTGTAATTAAGTGTCTCATCCAGCCTAGCTATGAGTTTTAATTGAATGTTTCATCCAGCCTAGCTATGAGTTTTAATTGAATGTTTCATCCAGCCTAGCTATGAGTTATAATTGAATGTCTCATCCAGCCCAGCTATGAGTTATAATTGAATGTCTCATCCAGCCCAGCTATGAGTTATAATTGAATGTCTCATCCAGCCTAGCTATGAGTTATAATTGAATGTCTCATCCAGCCCAGCTATGAGTAGCTATGAGTTGTAATTTAATGTCTGATCCAGCCTAGCTATGAGTTATAATTGAATGTCTCATCCAGCCCAGCTATGAGTAGCTATGAGTTGTAATTTAATGTCTGATCCAGCCTAGCTATGAGTTATAATTGAATGTCTCATCCAGCCTAGCTATGAGTAGCTATGAGTTTTAATTGAATGTCTCATCCAGCCTAGCTTTGAGTAGCTATGAGTTGTAATTGAATGTCTCATCCAGCCTGGACTGTCATCCCTGATAAATCTCTGATGTGTCCCATTTACCTCTACCTAATACAGAAACTGTGACAGTTAAATACACTGAACAGCCACCAGATTAATTAGGATGTGATCTAAGAAAGACAAATCACCTTCTAGTCTTTACTTCATTTTATTTAATATACCCATACTGAAGGCAGACACACGACTTACAGAAAATTTATTCTTCTTCTTTTTGTCTTGAACTGCTGTCTATAACTGTAAACGTTCTACTTCATACTTATAAATATGTCATTTATACTTTGGTACAATCACAGTTACCAGCCTTGTTTGTCAATACACTTATACTAGTAAGTAATTAGTGGAAGTGTATTGACAGACAAGGCTGGACTTTTGGTACAATCACAGTTACCAGCCTTGCTTGTCAATACACTTATACTAGTAAGTAATTAGTGGAAGTGTATTGACAGACAAGGCTGGTACCTATAGCCCAATAACACAATCTTTGAAATCATTTAATATTGAATATGGTATAAACCCATTTTGCTAGGTCACATTGACCCAACCTTAATATAAACTTTTCTTTATATCTTAAATGATTAAAACACTTTTTCGGCAGACATGTTTTCTGGTAAAAATTTTAAAATGTGAAAGAAAAAACAATGGCTATATATACTGCTGGACTTGATGTTCCCACCTTTCCAAATATATCTATAGTAAAAAAAACCTGTCAATTGACTGAACTGGTAAAACCAGATTTTGAATTTTTTTATTTGACCTGCTCACAGCAGATCTCTACCTTTATGGAAGGTTTACATGGTGCAGCACCACAGGTGATGTCTTTTGTACAGTTAATGTTCCCTACTTTCATACAAAGTAAACGATAAAGCTAAGAATTGTCAACTTCCGTCCCTCAACTGCTAAGTCTATGGGAGAACATTAAAATATGTTGTCAGTGTCCCATGTCTAAATTTGTGTAGTACTAATGTACTCTGAAGGGCTCTTTACAATATGTTTATAATTCTTAAGTATCTGTCATCTGGTTTCATCATATTAAGAAAATGTAACAAGTTGATGCATTAATCTCGTATTTTTTGGTTAGTGAGCTAGTTCTCGGTAGCTGGTATAACTTAGGCTGTGTGCTGAATACTGCGTTATATTAGCTAATAGAAAATATCTGGAACACACAATATTGAATAATTCATAGTCTTATAATAAAGGTCATTGAGGTCATATTAATATGAGTTATACAGTTAGTCTCAGCTAGACATTTCTTATAATTTTAGTATATTGGAAGCATGAATGGAGAAAAGCTGACCCATACACATGGTGTGTGTCAGTAGTATTTACTGTCTAAATATCAAAAGGTTTGAATGGACAGTGCTATGGTTAACATGTAGTGAGAATATTAACAAGTTATAATTAGTTTTGCTATTCTAACTATAAAACATGCGACCCAAAATAGAGGAGTGCGACTGGAGTTTGTAACTCAGGTGTATTGTGGTAATAATACTTACCTCGTGGTGACCTACCTGTAATAACTTACCTGTAGATCCTGTACACAGCTGACCTTACCAAATCTAATTCAATGAGTGCTTCAATGGAATCAAACTATGAAGCCGCGAACCTGACTTACTATTGACAAGGTTGTACAGATGGGTTCCTGACTTATATGTACACATGTTGTTGTATGACTGGTTTGATATGAAATGATATATTCATACAGATCTTCTTTCTAACAAGGCTTTAGAGGAATTGAATTTTTGAAGCCTTGTTTTGAAATTTCAAAATGAGACATCAAAAATGAAAAGTGATTGAATGACAGGTGAACTGGGCTGTGCTTTGAAAGATGCAGAAGGTTTTTGGATTTGTAAACTTTGGAGTATGTAATTTTGTAAAGAGATCCTTCAGGTCAGAGATCAGTCAGGTCAGTCTTGTATTAGATTTAATTGGTGCTTTTTTGTAGTTATAATTTCTCTGATGATTGTATCAAGGTCTTTGTACAATGTGTTACGGTTTCTAGTGGTTTTACTGATTCAGGTCTGTTTGACGTTACAAAGTCTTACCTGCATGTAAAAACACGGGGAGCATTAATACCGACTTACAATGTGTTTACATTTTTTTACAGAATGTATTGACAATGGTTGTGTAATTAAGATATACTTATTAAGGCTTATGCAACATATCCATGATGTCTGACTCTGAAAAAGAACCAGAACTGAAGGACATCAGTGTTGAGGATGTTCTTGGAGAGTTACGAGATATTTTACACCAAAAATACACTGACACAACAGATGATGATGACACCAGTTCGTTTGGTATAGGTGATACTGGTACGTCTGTGTCTGCATCATCCACTCCACAAAAATCACCTGCACATTCTACGAATTCCTCCTCAACGGTCTCTGAAACCTCGTCAGTTTTGGAGAAAAAGGATGTCTCAGACTTTGAGGATTCAGGAATATTAGTAAATAACACAAATAATACAGATGGAACAAATTCTGATGTGTCGACAAAAGTTGATAATGACAACACAAGTTCTCAGCCAAGATTGCTTCCTGGAAATTTAGATTTGTCTGTAAACTGTTCAAATGCTTCAACAACCTCTCCAACATCACCGCAGAGTCAGGCACTAAGCCCTGTTCTGGCTCAGCCAATTATATTCAAGACGTCAGTCAAAAAAGATCCAGGTTCAAAACTTCAGGATCAACTTGTGAAAGAACTAAATATGGTGCTTAAGAAACGAAGCAATGTTGATGGTGCGCCGAGTATGAAGGAGGATAACATTGGGGATGTGAATTTTAACAAAAGTGTGAACAGACCAACAAAAAAAGTGTTTGCAAATAAAGCATTACTGGCAAATTTGGAAAACCATTTTGCAAGTCGTACATTAAAAGATCGAATGGAGAAACAAAGACAGAGCATTCAAGAATATGAAAAATCTACGGAAAATCTGCCAAAATCACCACCATCAGAAATAACATCATTTGAAGATCATTTAAGTCAAATGTTGAAACGACGTCTTGAAAAACCACCAGAAACAAATGTGTCCTCTAATGAGGATATAAGTCAGACATTAAAATCCCGTCTAGAAAAACAAAGACAGAGTATTCAGGAGTATGAGAATACAGTGGCACAAAGCCCAAGGTCTCCTCCCTCTGATTATGCTATGTCGTTTTCATTTAAAGGCTCAACAGGACACATATCATTATCTGGTGAATCAGACCTATCAAATGAGTCAGATGTTGAAAATAGACCTGTCACTGAACGAATATCAATTTTTCAAAAGAGGGAAGATATGAAAAGAAAACGACGCAGTACTACTTCAAGTAATGTATCTCGGCAAAGTGCTGAAGATGTTGACAGCTCAGGAAAAGATTCGTTTGTTGGGGTTACAAATTCCAATAATGGCAATGAAAAACGAGTGACAATTTACAATGTGAGGCCATCTGATGGAATGTTATACAGTGTTCACGTACAGTCATCCTCCGACCAGGCAAGGGAGAAGACCAGGAAACATATATCATATATAAATATCTCAGGTAAGGGATCTGTCAGGGGAGACAACTGGGAAACATCTGTCTCAGGTAAGGGATCTGTCAGGGGAGGCAACTGGGAAACATCTGTTTCAGGTAAGGGATCTCTCAGGGGAGGCAACTGGGAAACATCTGTTTCAGGTAAGGGATCTGTCAGGGGAGACAACTGGGAAACATCTGTCTCAGGTAAGGTATCTGTCAGGGGAGACGACTGGAAAACATCTGTCTCAGGAAAGGGATCTGTCAGGGGAGACAACTGGGAAACACATTTCGTAGATAGATATATATATTTATATATATTATGGGGGCAGGAGACTAGAATTAAACAGATCAGTCACTGGAAATCTTCACTAAAAAACAAATATTGTAAGACAACTTATTGGAAAATGGAGCAATGTGCAAATAGCAGGTAAGTGAAGGTCATTAAATGATGAAACCAACAGGTGAGGCTTTCCACTGTACAGAAGACAAGATATAATGATGGTAGATTGTATGGATATAGTTGTGATCATATAAAAATATACCTGTTCTTTGAATGTATAACAATGTTTAAGTTTGTATGAATTTTTGTTCTGGTGTCTCAATTGGGAAGCTAGTCAACCAAGTCAGAACTAAGATTTCACTAATTTGAGTTTTGCAATGAACATATCATGACGAGAGGCATTCTCTTTTCCTCTTTTGTTCCTACATCTATTGTTCTGTTCTAGGTTGTCCATTTATCCAGAACATTGATGATGGTGGCCTCCCTACAGCTGATGGTGACGGGTTGTTTCGTGGAGAGGAGGACAATGTGGCTACCTTTTATGTTCATGTTGGAAAGAGGAGGGGAGAACTTGGGGTCCAGGTTGATGGTAAGTTCTCCACTGATAGTATTACAACAGTCCACTTGCTGTGCTATTCATGTTGATCGTATTGTTATTTATATTAAAGCAGTTTAAAGCTTTATCATTACACTATAGATCTTGTTATTTTTTAAAGTTTTAATTTTCTAAGAATGTATTTTTCATGTAAAACTATGAAATAGATTCTGATTTTTTACACCATATTTATTTTCTAAATTCCTGATTAAAATTATTAGTTTAAAACGACAGTTTAATGAGATGCACATATTGACCTCAGCTAACCACCAGGGGCTGTTGGGTGGGGCCAAAATTGGATCTAACTGACTGAAATTTCAAAGATCTTCTACCTTTCATGGATGGAAGGTTTTATAAAGAAAAATTCAAATCTTGAGTGTGATTTCTTGTAATTCAAACTTTGTTAGAAGCCTTAGCATGGGACAGCAGTTAATGTATACACAAGTTACATTTGTTTTACGTGTACAATATAGTTAAATTTATTTCTTTATTTTTTAATTTTTTAACATGTTACAAGAAGCATTGTGACTTAGGTGATGGATAAGGCCCTCGGACCTCTTGTTTAAATATGATTTTATTCTGTCCTCGAAAATAGTAAAAAACAAAACTGTGTTAACATAGGAATGTTTACCATTTACAGCATTTTCTTTATTGTCTTTTGGAAAAGATCATTGAGACTAACCTGCTGTAGTTTTAGCCATCCTCAGCCTCATGTGAAATTTGTACTATAGTAAACAATTTTCACCAGGGACTGAGGATGTACTGTCACCAGTACAACAGGAAACAGAAAAGTTCCCATTGTAAAAATAATGGTGTTTTTTTCAGGCCCTAACTCCATTGCTAAGACAACAATTGAACCTGCAGGAGATCGGTACGTGTGTACCTATACTCCAGTAGAGGTGGGCATTTTCACATTACAGCTCCAATGGAATGGTAAAGACCTCCCAGGTATGTCACCTCAAATTCTTACTTACTCTAGATAAGTATAACTGGAACTTCGAATTCAAAATATGAAAGTTTAGCTTAAAAGTTAGAATCTTTTTGTTAATTGGCGCTGCCTTCATTGTCATACAGACTTTTGTTTTTATGACAAATAGGACTCTGTGTTCTTAGTGATGGCGTGCATGGTAATATCAAGCTCATTTTAATGTCTGAGACTTACGCAATGATTTTATAACTAAATATTACTTTTTCCATTCCATTTTTTCACATTGTAATTCTTGTAATGACAGGGAGTCCCTTCCACCCGAAGATTGTCGACCCACGAAAGGTGAAGATATATGGCGGCTGGCAGCACCTAATGGACAGTCAGGAGAGAGTAAAACTGGTCGTCGGAGAGGAGAAACGTCTTGTGTTTGACGTATCACAAGCTGGTCCAGGTACTCCATCTTGTATATTAGGGAGATTTCTGAAAAAATAAATGTAGTGAAAATTTGAGACATATATTTCACCTCTATCAGGTTGTTTCTTATCCAGATTTTTTTTCAAGCAAATAAAAATTAGGATATGATCAAATGTTTACTGATGCAGTGGAACCTCGTTATCTCAAACTCGTATAACACAAAGACCCTGTTTAATTGGAAGCATTTTGTAGGTCCCTGCCTAACTTTACACAAAACATTCAAACTCTTTTAAATAAAATACTTGGCTAATTTGAAGTTTCCTGATGGTCCCGCCGAGTTTGAGATAATGAGGTTAGGTTGTACATTGAAAAAAAACATTAGTACCAACATTTAAGTTGTTATTAATTTGAAATTCATTCATCTGAGAATTTCAGGTTTCAGGTCACTTATATAGCTACTTAAGATATAAATTATATTAATATATATATGTATTATATTGTATTACGTTGTATTATATTGTATTACATTGTATTACATTATATTACGTTGTATTATATTGTATTACATTGTATTACATTATATTACGTTGTATTAGATAGTATTATATTGTATTACGTTGTATTAAGTAGTATTATATTATATTACGTTGTATTAAGTAGTATTATATTGTATTACGTTGTATTATATTGTATTACATTGTGTTACATTATATTACATTGTATTAATTAGTATTATATTGTATTACGTTGTATTATATTGTATTACATTGTGTTACATTATATTACATTGTATTAATTAGTATTATATTGTATTATGTTGTATTATATTGTATTATGTTGTATTATATTGTATTACATTGTATTACATTATATTACGTTGTATTAGATAGTATTATATTATATTACGTGGTATTAAGTAGTATTATATTGTATTATGTTGTATTATGTTGTATTATTGCAGGAATCATGAAAGCTGAGGTACAGGGTCCATCTTCTTCCCTTCCTGTAATGGTGGACAGTCATACAGTAGGACAGAATGTCATCTGTTTTACTCCCGAGGAGGAAGGTTTGTAAAAACACAAACATTGTCACATTGTGTAGGGGATGAGGGTTGGGAATGTTTTACACCCTGAGGAGGAAGGTTTGTAAAAACACAAACATTGTCACATTGTGTAGGGGATGAGGGTTGGGAATGTTTTACACCCTGAGGAGGAAGGTTTGTAAAAACACAAACATTGTCACATTGTGTAGGGGATGAGGGTTGGGAATGTTTTACACCCTGAGGAGGAAGGTTTGTAAAAACACAAACATTGTCACATTGTGTAGGGGATGAGGGTTGGGAATGTTTTACACCCTGAGGAGGAAGGTTTGTAAAAACACAAACATTGTCACATTGTGTAGGGGATGAGGGTTGGGAATGTTTTACACCCTGAGGAGGAAGGTTTGTAAAAACACAAACATTGTCACATTGTGTAGGGGATGAGGGTTGGGAATGTTTTACACCCTGAGGAGGAAGGTTTGTAAAAACACAAACATTGTCACATTGTGTAGGGGATGAGGGTTGGGAATGTTTTACACCCTGAGGAGGAAGGTTTGTAAAAACACAAACATTGTCACATTGTGTAGGGGATGAGGGTTGGGAATGTTTTACACCCTGAGGAGGAAGGTTTGTAAAAACACAAACATTGTCACATTGTGTAGGGGATGAGGGTTGGGAATGTTTTACACCCTGAGGAGGAAGGTTTGTAAAAACACAAACATTGTCACATTGTGTAGGGGATGAGGGTTGGGAATGTTTTACAACCTGAGGAGGAAGGTTTGTAAAAACACAAACATTGTCACATTGTGTAGGGGATGAGGGTTGGGAATGTTTTACACCCTGAGGAGGAAGGTTTGTAAAAACACAAACATTGTCACATTGTGTAGGGGATGAGGGTTGGGAATGTTTTACACCCTGAGGAGGAAGGTTTGTAAAAACACAAACATTGTCACATTGTGTAGGGGATGAGGGTTGGGAATGTTTTACACCCTGAGGAGGAAGGTTTGTAAAAACACAAACATTGTCACATTGTGTAGGGGATGAGGGTTGGGAATGTTTTACACCCTGAGGAGGAAGGTTTGTAAAAACACAAACATTGTCACATTGTGTAGGGGATGAGGGTTGGGAATGTTTTACACCCTGAGGAGGAAGGTTTGTAAAAACACAAACATTGTCACATTGTGTAGGGGATGAGGGTTGGGAATGTTTTACACCCTGAGGAGGAAGGTTTGTAAAAACACAAACATTGTCACATTGTGTAGGGGATGAGGGTTGGGAATGTTTTACACCCTGAGGAGGAAGGTTTGTAAAAACACATAGGCTGTCACACTGTGTAGGGGATGAGGGTAACACAGACACTGTCACACTGTATAGGGGATGAGGGTAACACAAACACTGTCACACTGTATAGGGGATGAGGGTAACACAAAAACTGTCGCACTGTGTAGGGGATTAGGGTCGGGAATGTTTTACACCCTGAGATGGAAAGTTTGTGAAAACACAAACATTGTCACACTGTATAGGGGATGAGGGTTACACAGACATTGCCACACTGTGTAGGGGATGAGGGTAACACAGACATTGCCACATTGTGTATGGGATGAGGGTAACACAAATACAGTCACACTGTGTAGGGGATGAGGTTAACACAGACACTGTCACATTGTGTAGGGGATGAGGGTAACACAGACACTGTCACACTGTATAGGGGATGAGGGTAACACAGACACTGTCACACTGTGTAGCGGATGAGGGTAACACAAACATTGTCACACTGTATAGGGGATGAGGGTAACACAGACATTGTCACACTGTGTAGGGGATGAGGGTAACACAGACACTGTCACAGTGTGTAGGGGATGAGGGTAACACAGACATTGCCACACTGTGTAGGGGATGAGGGTAACACAGACACTGTCACACTGTATAGGGGATGAGGGTAACACAAAAACTGTCGCACTGTGTAGGGGATTAGGGTCGGAAATGTTTTACACCCTGAGATGGAAAGTTTGTGAAAACACAAACATTGTCACACTGTATAGGGGATGAGGGTTACACAGACATTGCCACACTGTGTAGGGGATGAGGGTAACACAGACATTGCCACATTGTGTAGGGGATGAGGGTAACACAAATACAGTCACACTGTGTAGGGGATGAGGTTAACACAGACACTGTCACATTGTGTAGGGGATGAGGGTAACACAGACACTGTCACACTGTATAGGGTATGAGGGTAACACAGACACTGTCACACTGTGTAGCGGATGAGGGTAACACAAACATTGTCACACTGTATAGGGGATGAGGGTAACACAGACATTGTCACACTGTGTAGGGGATGAGGGTAACACAGACACTGTCACAGTGTGTAGGGGATGAGGGTAACACAGACATTGCCACACTGTGTAGGGGATGAGGGTAACACAAACACAGTCACACTGTGTATGGGATGAGGGTAACACAGACACTGTCACAGTGTGTAGGGGATGAGGGTAACACAGACACTGTCACACTGTGTAGGGGATGAGGGTAACACAGACACTGTCACACTGTGTAGCGGATGAGGGTAACACAAACATTGTCACACTGTATAGGGGATGAGGGTAACACAGACATTGCCACACTGTGTAGGGGATGAGGGTAACACAGACTCTGTCACACTGTGTAGGGGATGAGGGTAACACAGACACTGTCACACTGTGTAGGGGATGAGGGTAACACAGACACTGTCACACTGTGTAGGGGATGAGGGTAACACAGACACTGTCACACTGTGTAGGGTATGAGGGTAACACAGACACTGTCACACTGTGTAGGGTATGAGGGTAACACAGACACTTGTCACACTGTGTAGGGGATGAGGGTAACACAGACACTGTCACACTGTGTAGGGTATGAGGGTAACACAGACACTGTCACACTGTGTAGGGGATGAGGGTAACACAGACACTGTCACACTGTGTAGCGGATGAGGGTAACACAAACATTGTCACACTGTATAGGGGATGAGGGTAACACAGACATTGCCACACTGTGTAGGGGATGAGGGTAACACAGACTCTGTCACACTGTGTAGGGGATGAGGGTAACACAGACACTGTCACACTGTGTAGGGGATGAGGGTAACACAGACACTGTCACACTGTGTAGGGGATGAGGGTAACACAGACACTGTCACACTGTGTAGGGTATGAGGGTAACACAGACACTGTCACACTGTGTAGGGTATGAGGGTAACACAGACACTGTCACACTGTGTAGGGGATGAGGGTAACACAGACACTGTCACACTGTGTAGGGTATGAGGGTAACACAGACACTGTCACACTGTGTAGGGGATGAGGGTAACACAGACACTGTCACACTGTGTAGGGGATGAGGGATGGGAACACCATTAAGGAGTAAGGTTGGTACAGAAAATACACGGTCACTCTTTGTGAATAAGGAGAGTTAGTGTAGAGGAATTAAATGTCAGGATTACGTCTGTATATCTACACTTTATATTGATAGGTAATCACTACATTCACCTGTTCTGGGCGGAGCGGACACTTCCAAACTCGCCTTTTATTGGCTATGCTGTCCGTGTAGCTGCCGATGCAAACAAGGTGATCCTTACCGGGCGTGGCTTGAAGGAGGCTAAAGTTCGTGAGGAGGCGGAGTTTGTTATTGATGGTTCTCAGGCAGGATCTGGTGTGTATTTAATTTACTTCAATATTCATACATAAGTCGTCCTACTGGAGAACAGGATATAGTGTTATCTATGTCCCTCCTTTCTCCTGTGATTGTGCTATGTCTTTAATCAATCATATCACTCTAGCAACGTTATTTCATAAGGAATGTTGATCAAACTTTTTTAAAAGGTAAAAAAAAAATTATGCACAGGACAAGAAACTTGAACAAGTTTTAGGTTTCGTAGAATGATGTATCGGAGTAGAGGCATTGATGTCATTTCCATTTGAATTGATATTTTGTAAAGGGTTGTTCGGGTTGAATATTTAAATGTGTATGTAAATTTGTATACCTAAATTACATAGGTTGGAGATTATTTTTTTGCTGTGGGTGTAACGAGGCTGACAGCAGAATTTTGCTATGTCCATATTGATGAGATATAAAATGCCATTTTCTTTGCCCCTCTTTGATAGCCTTCTTGTCAGGTAAGACAGCTATCATATTTCAGTCTTTGTGTGGTTTTACTGTAACTTAATTGGAAGCATAAAAGATGATAATTGAGATCTAAAGGCCAGAGGTAATCTTTATATACCTCAGTAGCAATCTTAATCAGCAGTTAGAAGCAACTGAATGCTTTCACCTGTATACATGCTGCTATGCATTTTAATTAGTATAAACACGTCGATTTATGATATCAATGTTTGTAATGTTGTCAGCTGTTCTCATAGTAACACTAAACCAGCTGTTTGCGGTTTTCTTCGATTTTAGTTGTGGTTTCCTTAGACACAGTTGTGGAGTTCTATATTTTGTGCTTAACTCTTTCATTATCTTTTCTTCTGTGAAATTCAAACTTTGTACACATATTCTAAAAATAATTTACTGCCCAATGATAAATAAGGTTTTCACATGTCTAATCATAATTATTTCAAATATTGGTATTTTCGGTCCTAAGTCATTTTAGAATTATTTCAAATATTGGTATTATCGGTCCTAAGTCATTTCAGAATTATTTCAAATATTGGTATTTTGGATCCTAAGTAATTTCAGAATGTGAAAGTTGGGATGGTGACTCAGATTCAAATATTCATATCAATTGGAGATGCTTTGGTAGATAAACAAAATCTCTTTTTAGCTACATATGTATTCTACTCACAGAAACCACCAGAGATATTCCAAATATCATCCTTCATGCAGAGTTTTACATAGAGTGGGTCTGACCACTATAGCAGTTATAAACTAGAACATGAGGTATTAGACATATCAATATGTGTTAGGTCAAAGGCAACTCCTTAAACAGATCCCATGAAATATAAAAAGTGTTTCACTTAGGAATCAAATAAACATGTATACATATATAGTAGGCCTTTCTTCATGTTTATAATCATTGCTTCTGAACTTACTTTCCTAAGCTTTTAGAACATTTTCTCATGCATAATTCATTGCTTTTAAATCAATTTTGTTTCTTCACTGCAGTTTTTGAGGGTCAAATCTTTATAATTTTAGCTTCCGTTGATCTATCAGAATTATGTTTACGTATGGTTGACTACTGATCTATCAGAATTATGTTTACGTATGGTTGACTACTGATCTATCAGAATTATTTTTATGTATGGTTGACTATTGATCTATCAGAATTATTTTTACGTATGGTTGACTATTGATCTATCAGAATTATTTTTATGTATGGTTGACTATTGATCTATCAGAATTATTTTTATGTATGGTTGACTATTGATCTATCAGAATTATTTTTATGTATGGTTGACTATTGATCTATCAGAATTATTTTTATGTATGGTTGGTTTTGACTTCATTTAAGGTCACAATATCATCTGAATCAAATATTTAAAATAATTTCTAAAGAACCCTGATGTCTGAAGTGAAAATATCCACGAGCTGCTTCTCCAATTTACTGTGATATAAAGTTCATGTTGATTTTAAACCGCATTGACCTTGTTTCATGGTTTTAGAGTTAGTCAGTTGGTAGTTGAAAGTATCAAGTGTAGAGGACACTTACGAGGGGAAAAGATTTTCACCCTGAACTTGAATGCTGTGTTACATATCTGAACAATATAACTTTTTGAGAGTAATCTTGGTTAAGATGGTGTTTATAAACATGGTTAATATGTTGAAGTGGATACTGACTAAACCTGTCGAGTTTTAAATCTGACTTTGGTTGGTGTAGAGATCGTGTAACCGTTTCTTTTACATATTTGCTTATAATCATTGTGTGTATCTGTAGATTTCTGTTCTTTAAGCTTGCGTTGTTATAACACATCTTTTGACACTTTTGGACATTATAATTATAGAACTATATTTAAGTCAACGTTTGACAAGCTTTTCTTTTACTATTACACACGGCTTTACATTAAATTTAGCTTTACCTGACACAAAATACGAAAAATAATTTCCACTGATACATGATTAATTTGATTAAAGATAAGTATACAACAAATTAAACTATAATGTAATATCTGTGCAGAACCATTATAGGCAAATATTCATTATCAGTATTTTATTGAAATCATTCACTAAAAATGTTATCTAATAATGAACTAGCATTGTTAACTTTTTATCCTTTTAATTCATATTTATTCCATTTTGTTTTTGCTTTTGTTTTTTTTATCACACATTTTGGTTTTTATTTGCTGAAAGATTGATTGTTTGGTTTATCAAATGTCTAATATCTACTAACTATGTTACATAAAACTGCTTCTTAAATGTAGAAACATTGAATATTTGTTTCAAACATTTCAGGTGTACCAGAGGTAACTCTATCAGGTGTGCGTGCGGAGATCAGCAACAGAGTTGTCCCCCTTGGAAATGGGCGTTTCCACTGTACCTACACACCAATTATTCCTGGTGCCTATCTCCTCCATATCACATGGAATGGACGTCAGCTGAAGGGATCCCCATACAAGGTCAACGTGATTGGGGCTTTCTTCCCTCACAAAGTGTCAGTAACTGGTGAAGGACTGAAGGGAGGCATCATGGGAAAAACTTCAGATGTCTATATTGATGTGCGGAAGGCTGGACCTGGTAGGTTGATTATTTGACTTAAGGGTATATGGTACCTTCCACATTGTACACATGATTGTTTGTAAAAGTTAGAAACTTTATCATCTCTGTAATAAAAAAAAAAGTTATAATGGTCATACATCTAATAATAACGTAAAATAGATTCAATCAAATTATTTTCTTATCACTTTTAATAATACTGACAAAAATCTATTGAATATTAAGAAATCCATTGTAATTAATTTCTTTGGCAACTAAGTGATATACAGATAATGATGTTCAATGTTTATAAACTTGTAGGTGAGCTCACAGCTGCCTGTATGGGACCATCAAAAGTAGCAAATGTGGATCTCCATGACAACAGAGATGGGACATTCCAACTGGGCATCAAACCCATGGAGGTCGGCAGACATGTGCTGCAGGTTAAATATGGAGGAGAGCATGTCCTGGGTAAGGATCAAGGGAGACAACCTAGACTTTCTGCCATACATGAAGAGCAGTACATGTATCAAATTGGGGTGTAGAATACAAAAAAAAGAAAAGCATAAAATGTTGAAGGCAATTATTGATAGATAGTTTCATGTGTAGTTATAGGAAGCGAAGTATTTTGGAGAGAATTTCAATTATTTATAAAAATTGCACACTTATAATATTAAAATGAGGCATAAACCCTTTCCTATATATAGTTTTTATTTTATGAATACAAATGGCTAAAAAGTCTAGACAATGATTTCATCTCATCGTGTTGATCTTTGTCGTTACTGTAATAACTTGTCTCATTATTCTAGGGAGCCCATTTATCCTGAAAGTGGGATCACAGCCAGACGCCAGTAAGGTTCGCGTGACAGGTCCCGGAGTGGAACATGGCATTCTCGCTACATTTCAGAGCAGTTTTGTTGTGGAGACCCGTGGAGCCGGGGCTGGTCAACTAACTGTCCGAATAAGAGGACCTAAAGGTAAACAAGACAACATTGCCACTGCATAAAGAAAACAGACTTTTTATCAGTTAACTCACAAAATTAGCATTTTGTCCAGTTTTATATTGAAATATGGAGGACAAAACCAAACATAGGCAGCTCTTTTGGTGTGCTATTTGAAATTCATGACATATTGTCATTCTCCATATTATGACATCATGCAGCAAAAGAAAAATACTTCAGGGTATTTCACATATATATTTTCTTTGAATAATTAAGTTCTGAATCCTTTACCTGGAGAAATTGATATACTATGTATACAAAGGAAATCCTTATGTCATATGTACATGTACATTTAATAATGTCTGTGATATCATTATTTATCATACAAAGTAGTTTAGGTGAGTTCTGTCTGTGATATCATTATTTATCACACAAAGTAGTTTAGGTGAGTTCTGTCTGTGACATCATTATTTACCATACAATGTCATTGTTTTAGGCGGCTTCCAGGTAGAGATGTACAGAGATAGCCAGAGAGACCGCACCATTCTCTGTCGTTATGACCCAACAGAAACTGGCCTGTACATCATCAGCATACGTTGGTCTGGTGTGGATGTCCCAGGAAGTCCATTCCAGATCAATATTGTCGACACTCAGCAGGAATTAGAGCACCTGCTTCAGGAACAATCCTTCTCCAACAGTTCTGCCACCCCACGCACATACGCTCAGTGGAAGGCTGAAATCTAGAATCCAGAGAATATCCAGGAAATGTCAATCAAACGGGAGAAAGGTGTAAAAATTGCCATACTTGTCAAATATACTCAGAAGGTTTTAGGTATTAATAAGTATCTTTATACAAATTCTGAAAATGGATCTGAAGATTTTTATGAAAATGACAATGAAAACAACTTTTTTTGTTTCATGCTTACGGCTGAAAAGTGCGTGTAAGTCTAAATCAAAATATCACTCGACAGTCAATGAATCTAACGCATTCTGTCATTATGTTATTATGTTGAAAATTTGTTTGTTCTTGAAATGTTTATTTCAAGCATACAAACAAATGGTAGTTACAGCATTTAATGAAGTTAAATAATAAAAATATCTAGGCACTCACTTTTAAGACCCACCCAGCTTTATATACTTACAAACCTTGTATCATCTACAAAAATAGACACAATCACAATTACAACCAGCATGGCGGTTATGAAAATGTTATACACAGGTATCATTGTATAAGTGTACATTCCGTTGTACCTTGTGATATTATTTTTTTAATATTTTATTGTAGCCCAATATCATATCAGGTAGTATACGTTACTTACATGTAGACAAGCTTTTGATATTCTAACAATTTTCAAAATATCAAAACAATAACTTCTTTGAATCTGTGTACTTGTGTTAATTTTGATGATGTATTTGTCCGTTTACTCTTTTCTTACCAATAATTGAATAGTGATTGATAAGACTTTCATTTGAATAATGAATTCCTGAAAAATTCATTCTGATTGTGTTTCTGTTTTTTCCATCGACAAAGGTGCTATGTTTTGCTCTAAGAGATAATAAGTTTGGAACCGTGTGATATTCCTGTTAAATGATATTTAGTACTTATATAAATATATGAAGGTAAGAATACCATCCACACTAGAAAATTGTAGCTGATAATTTTACATGGGATTGTGACAGTATTTGATTGGAAAAATATAAATGAAAATTTCTTGTGAATAGACAAAGGACAATTTGTTGTAGTTTGAATTCTTCTATTTTACAGTCTCGCACATGTTCTCCTAATTTGACTTGTTATAGAGGTGTATTTAGCAGGAATGGAATCCCTTGTCAGGACTTTTCCATCATACATGTAATACTTTGTTGATGGAGAATCCATTTTGCCATGAAGGATTTATAACTATATATATTTACACTGTAACACCATGTCAAAATTTGTGATTACTACAACAATATGTTTTCTTTTGGAATTATGATTTCAAGTTAGATTGAATACATGGTTTTGTAATGGTTTTTATGCAAAATTTTTTGTTGAAATGATGAATTATGAATGGTAAATTAAGAACTATTACTAGTGCAGAAACCAAAGAACAACAATACCATCTGGTTGTATATATCAAAGGAGCTAATAAGAAATGGTGGGTACCTGTGAATTTTGTCCCAACGGTAATGTTGGTGTATTCTCCTTGTTGTTCTAGAAAACTCTGGTTTATATATCAAAGATTATGTTTCAAATTATCACAATGATATTTCCTTTTGAATGTATTTTCTACTTTCTTTTTCCATAAGGTTTGTACTATGCAATTTTGCTATTTTGTTGGAGTATATGTGTAATGTTTATGAGTTCTACTGTTTACATACCTAGTATGTATTTATGTATATCTAGGGTACGATATATTAACTGCATAATACAAGAGGGTATCATCTGATATAAAGGTTTTATTTATGGACTAGACAATTGATTGATAGTGTGATGCCATACTAGACTAAAGATGTCTGGCTGTTTTAGGGTTAATCTGCTTCCCATACTCACGAATATACATGGATATGTGTTGGAGGGCAGCTGTTGATGCAGTAGTCCCTCCAAGTTTCACAATAATTGATAAAGAAGATTTGAGGGAAAAGTGCTGTGGAACAGGTAGTCTTTGACTTGACATGGTATTGCACTGTGCTCATTACATTAACAAATGTGCTGCATTAAATGGTATGGTTGTGGACTTGTACATTGAATCTACACAAGGTAAAACCTTGAAATCCTGGAGTTTTGATATATATTGAAAGCACCTTTGCAATGGTGGTAAAATGTATCGGAAGTACTTCCTCTCTACTGAGACTTATTACTGAGGAGAAAATCACCATTGATTTAAATAAGCAGTAAAATCCAATAGTGTATTACTAACTGCCCTGACTCTCACTTTATATTGATGAGGAGTATTGTCTCCATGAGTTCCAAAGTAAGGGCACCATGGTGTTCATCCACTCTATATCAAAATTACATATGAGTATAATCTATTAGTTAGAACAAATTTCATAAAGAAGGGAAATAATCCTATTTTGCACACTAATATATAACATAGATCAGGTGTTTTTGTACTGAATATTTTGAAACTTGTACATATACATTTTTATTATACTATACATTGTTGAAATGAAATAATACTTTCATTTTATTTTTTGTTTACATATGATTTATCAAGATCTGCATTCCTCATTTATATATATGATATTGTATTTGCAAAATATATGATAGTTGTTACAATAAAATATATACTCATTTGACGAACCTCTGCCTCTTTTTGTTGTTATACGCCACCGCAGGCGGTTGTATATTTGCGTCATCTTCTCCGTCTGTCCGTCCGTACATCCATTTCTTGTGAACTCAACTCCTCCTAAACGAATCTTCAGATTTTCACAAAGCTCCCTCAATGTCACTACCACAATGGGTAGATGTGCATGAAGGGGTGATTTTTCGGTTCTTTGATTTTTGTAAGATTTATGCCATTTATGATCTCGGGTCCCTGTCTCTTACAGCTAAGCTAACTGGTCTCACAGACTTCATTTTGAGCTTATGTACACAGACATGTTAAAAGTGATAATTAAAAGGACCAATCTTGATCTTTATATTTTGTGGCGGCATATATTGTGTCCATGGCACTCTTATTATAAAAAATATGATAGACATTAGTTGTTCCATTAGTGGCATGTTTATCATAAATACTTTTGTATTTCAGAAGTGGTTGGTTTTCAAGAACCCCAATTTCTATCAATTATATTCTTCAGCATATTCATGTCTCCTCAAAGATGCACTACAGTTCCTCATTTAAACTGATGGAACACTTTTCTCCTGCAGAATGAAGCAACAAACTATCGTACTCATAGGAACAAACTTATTTAATAATTGTGCTCATTTCTTGACCAACAATGTTTTTGTTTTCATCAGAGGTTAATAATAATAAACTTCATTTATTTTACAACAATTACAAAGCAAGTTTTTCCAAGTTATATTAATCACTCTTGTTGGCTTGGATGGAAGCGTGCGAGGGGTCTTATTGTGGGAGGAAACCGGAATACCCACGTGGTTGGGCAGATGTTGCAATACCTTTTCACATCCATTCCAGGAGGTGAAGGGCGAGTGCGTTACTACCGCCTTCCAAACACTCAAAAATATCTGAGGTTCTGAACAAGAAATTGTCAACACTTTTCACATATATAGACAGGTGTTTACTGTTGATAATAAGACAATCCACAGACCGTGATTATATACTCCCTCTCTAACATTTAATCCAAGAAACAGGCTCCAGGTATTCGTGAACAAGAGGCCCATTGGACTTGTATTGCTCATCTGTTTTGTCGTGAATGTTTCTTTGGATGAGATTTTTCAGGCAAGTTTCATATTTATCCCATTCTGAATACTCTTCTTTCCTACGGATTTATAGTGATGTGACATACTCCTACCTATTTTTGACTCCAAGACGTTTTGACTTTTGACATTCAAAAGAGTCAGTCAATTCTGCAGAGCTTCTAATGAAATTTCATGACCTGGGCTTTTGGGTTATTCAAAAGGTTTTAGGATTTTGATACATAAAGACCATTTTGACCTTGTAGGTGAGTCAAAGTCATTCCTTTGAAAAAACAAGCCCTTAACCCTTGTAAGGTCTCTTGTTATGAAAAAGTTGATTTCATGCTGTTCTGTTCTCTCTTTGCTGTCTTGCCATTTTGGAACTGTCTACATACTTATTGAACATTTTAACACTATTCTTTAAAGTACAAAATGAATCTATGAATTTCATTAGTAGGTGTCCCAGGTACCAATGTAATGATCAGTTCCCGTTTCACCTCATTAATTTGGTAATACAATGCAACTTTGACTGTGCAATGGATTCTGGTTTGAACTTTTGAAGACGGCCTACATACATTGTATTATCAGTTGCTATATTTGGAAAGAGCAGATGAATCCTTTCTATGGTACGGTTGTTTTAACTCTGGACCTTCTTGCCATGTGAATGCAATAATGAGTGTTTTACTGAGTTGGTGAGAGTCAAAGTTGATCAAATTTCTATATTCTGGCACACATTTGGACATCAGGCTTGTGTTTATGAAATCATAATAGAATGTTGTCGTGTAATTCTGATGTCATGGTGTCACTGAGTATCTACTATATTGGTCGTGTTATGGAGATCAATAACCACACAAAATAAGTCTTCAACTTTTAGAGTCTATGTATTGTTATTCATGGTTTACAAAAACATATTACATCTTGTGAAAAAAATTGTACAAAATATAGATAAGAATCAACAAATATATTACACATCTATGGTATTATTTACAACAGAGATATTACACAATTTTAACCGATCCTAACAGACATATCACAGAAAAAATCACCACAGCCATCATTTTGTCTCAACATTTACATAGTACTGCACATCAACATCTTCAAATTATAATCTCAAAGCTGTTTGCCGAGAAAAAATCTACAGATTTACAATTAAAATGAAATACTACACCTGCATGCAAAATTTTGAAGACAGAAAATATGAATCAATTAGCAATATGGTGATTTAATGTAACATTAGATAATTTAAAGGAATAAAATTTTCTTTCAATTCATTTTCTGCCAAAGTTAATATATTTATGCTTAAAACTCACTTTCATAAAATTCTGGCATGATAAGTAGTTATTCAATATATCTTGTATTTGTTTACATCAAACATATCACAGACATTAATGCTGACAGCAGAATTCAAAATATTTGGCAATTACTTTTACGTAAAATTTCAAAACTGATTTGTAAGAAATTGCATATTTTGTGGTTATATTGAATAGTCTAGTTTTTGAAGTCACAGAAGAAACAGTAGAAAGGAAGACTTTACATTCAATTTCAGTAATGCTTTCTTTTTCTAAAATTGTCACGTTTTATATAAATCCATCTTTCTTGTGAAAAAAATTTGACAGTTGATGTACTTTGTCTGAATCATTTTTGAGCCTCTGAGAAAATACATGTGCAATGTCAGGTTCTTTTTGGCAGCCAAAGATATTGCCAGGTTGTTGTATATAAAACACACCATACATAAGAATCATTCTTCCATTGGAATGGAACTGTTCTCATAAATAACACAGATCATCGTTGTGGATTGATAAGTGTACTGTTTAAACCTACATTAGCATGACACAACGCCCACAGTGATCTGTACAGTATGATTTTGTGTTTAGTTTTCCAACACTGACACAAACTGTGAGTTCAATGTGATTGTATAACATAACATTTTGATATTGCATGGTTCATAGTCTCATGATTTTACACTAGACTAGCTAAGATATAGTGACATGTGCATCCTTTTTCACACCATGAACATCCTGAAGTCCGCTGATCACAGTTCTTGCTTCCTTTGCTTCTTTCATAGAATTGACTCTCACAGCATTGTATCGACGTTGAATCTGAAGTAAACCATTAGAATAGAATATTGTCATTTTCTGCCTAAATCTCTACTTTCACTGTATAGGAATTTTTCATGAAAATTTGAAAATGGATTGAAATAAATCAGATCTATATAAAACAATATATATATCCATATTTTTTACATACAAATTGCTTGGTTACGATTTGAATATTACTTTCTACTAGAATGCTGCCTGACCACATTATTTGCAGTTTCAGTAGAAGCCTCCTATTTTGAGTCATAGAAACATTTTTAGCCAATTGAAAAATCCTTTTTGGCCCCCTGGGCAAAACCACAAAATAATTTCAAATTTAGTGTCTTTCTTCCGATAAGCAAAGCATGCTGTAAGTAAATTACATAGAAGAGCACACATCAATAAATCCAACAACAGGGAGATCTTACCTCCCCTAGCAGTTTCTGAGCCTCGGCCAATTCACTTGGTGGTTTACGACGAGTCGTAAGAACCTCGCCCAAATTAGATTCTTCTACTGTGCGACGTGTCCTAATAAAGTCCAGGGTTTCACCGATCTCTTCCGGTTTGGTACGGCGAGGTGTCAGTTCAGGCAATGTCCACTATATAATCCAAAATAACGCCCATGAATTAATATTCCTCCAGTCTACCACTCCAATACAATAACAGGTTAATCTTTCACATTTCAATAATTCTGAACTAATTCTAAAAACTGGCTCAAATCTAAGTTCATGGTTTACTTGAATACCTGCCTCAAACTTTTTCCTGACAAACGTACCTCACAAAACCTATCATTATACCCTAAAAATCTATAACCATACCCCAGAAAATCTATAAAGGAATTAATACTTCACAAAATATACAAATGTACTCCAGAAAATCTATAAAGGAATTAATACTTCACAAAATATACAAATGTACTCCAGAAAATCTATAAAGGTATAAGTACCTTACAAAATATACAAATCTAACCCACAAAATCTATAAATGTACTCTACATGATCTATAAATGTACCTCACAAAATCTAAGTGACTCCCAATATGAAAAAATTATTACCTAATTAATTCTAACCTGTCAACAATTGGAATCACATTAATTCTTCGAACAGTTTGCCATTTTCAATCAAATCAATGTTATCTTTTACTTGTGAAAATTTACAACAGGAAAAAATCTTTTCAGAATCAATGACTTTTACCTTCTTATAGGGTTCAATATGGCGAGTGACTTTGTTGAGGTGAACAGCTGGATCTCGGTATACCAACTCATGGTTCAGGGCATACTTCAATGCCCGCACGTTACCTTGCATGTCTACGGACAAAAAATGGTTGATTACATGCTTGTGATATTCAGTGAGTTATGTGTTTGTTACACGCACAATTTCTTTGGAGAAAACCACAAAATTAAGAACACTTAGTCTGTTATAAGCCTTAAATTTGATTTCATGTTACTCATAAAAACATTTCCAATTCGAGAATTCCTTTTCATAACTGACATCCTAAAGACAGGACCAACCTTTTGGTGCTATAAATTCTGGGTCCTCTTCACAGTCAAGCAGGATCTCATACCCTTTGTAACGATCATCTACTTTCTCCTTTGTCTTCTCCTTCTTTTTTCTGTGTTTCTTTTCCTTCTTCACCTTCTTGTTGGATTCTTTCTGGGCTACCTCCCCTTCCTGTTCATCCACCTATATCATCAGATCAGCATTGTTATGAACTAGTCAAATAACTTGGCCTTCCATATCTATATTTGGAAATGTTTTCTCGGAAGACTATAATTTTATCTTGTACCATATACACTATGAAGTAAACTGCAGGGCCGTTAATGGCCATACTGTTCCTATCTTATCAATATACATGCACAATTTACAAATCAGATTAGAAAACAACAGTTTTACTGTCGTTAGATTTTAACAGGTTTTATAATAATTTTTAGAAATGCTATTGCAGTATCGTAAATGCCAGGGAAGGTAAATTATTGCCCTGTGATGTGCCCCACCTCCCTACTTTCAGCCACAGGGCCTGTGTTGGCCTATGTGACTTATTATTGGGTAAATATGCAAGTTCTCCCAAAACCACTGTGAAATTTTACTACAAAAGTTGAATTCTTCTAATTGGTTAAACATCCTGAAAGTCGGACCAAATCAGACAGTATACAAGTGTTGTTGGTACCTGTGTCATAAAGAAAGCCGAGCCTCCTCTGTCCTCTTCCTTTACTTCTTCTTCTTCAATTACTGGGTGGCTCTCGTCCTCCCAGGCATTCTTTGTCTCATTCACCTCCTCTTTACTGCCCTGAGATTTCGGTTCAGACCCTGCAGAATATGGTCGTTGGTAATCTGGGGTTCCTGGAATAGGTGTTAGGGGTTTATTGTGAAGGTCAAGGGCATTGACCACCTGACTGTGACCTGGTCTTGTTTGGTCAGGTTTGGGTCCTGGAGGAGGTTTAGGGGCCTCCAACATCAAGCGTTCCTCCAGAGGAATCTTTGGGATCTTTGGTACAATAGTTGTCACCTAGGAAACCAAACATACAGATTGATACAGTTTACTCATATTACGGCTTGTGCAATTTTTCAACTTTCACTAAAAAATTGCAGTTCATTTGGCGAGTAGAATTTCTCTATATCTGCAAGTGGACCAGCACTCTTATCTGATATACATTCATCAGTGGTATAGTATGAGTCAAGAATCAGTTCTGATTATAATGTACACCATTGATTCTAAGACAGGGAGTATTTCTGAGTCCACCTGAGATAACAACTCTGACAGTAAACTTTGAACTTACTTTGCGTGACTTCTTCTGTGTGATTTCCACTTTAGGTTTTATGAAGCTGTTGTCATTTTGTTTCTTGCGGATGAGTTTAATTCCGAGCCTATCATGTAGGAAACGTGAGAGAAGTGGTGGGTCACCACTCTTGGTAGTGGTGAGTGGATTCGAGTGGATGACTAGCTCCATCAACATTGGCCATGCAGCCACGGCCAGCAGGGCTTCCTCTTCTGCTATCTACACACAAACGTAAAATTGGTTTAAGGAAAATGTAAAAAAATGTTAACAAATGACACAATCTTCAAATAAGGATTCAAAATCTTTAAACTCACAAGGTCTTAGAATTGTTTTTGTCTTGTTAAATACTCAAGCGGACATGATAGAGTGCCTGTGCAGTGTACAGGTAGTCCTATGAAGAACCTATAACCTAGAATCATGGAATTCATCACATGTGTTGACTTGTCTTGTAACCTGATGTCAGTATTTTTGTAGGATTCCATTCCAAATAAAAGGATTTTAAATGTGCTTTTTTCTTCTTATCTTATTACAAATCATTCAGCGTAGGCATACAAATTTGTTGTAGCTTCAAATTATTAATTTTCTGTAAAGTAATTAAAAATCAGCTCATTTCATCAGATTAAAAACACTGCCATAGTAAGTAACTTTGGCAAAGTATTGTATGTGAAAAAAGCAACAAGAAAACACCAACATGTCAACATGCCATAATCCAAACTCAAATTCAATAAGACCAGGGCAAAATATGAACAAAAGAAAGATTTACACAGAGACTCCTGAGCACCAGGAAAATAAGACCAGGTATTACAGAAGAGTAAGCGTCTTTAGCTTCATCAACAACACACCCCATGTAACTTTGGTCAATCCAGGTAAGTAATGTCACATTCTCAAATGAAAACAAGGGTATACAACAACAGAACTAACAGGCAAACTAACACGCATCAAACATGTCCTTCTTCATATCTCACTCAAGAAATAGACTATTTCTCAATGAGGTCACTATGATGACGATAAAACTTTCCCATAATTTTCATCAACCTTCATCTTTTGAAACCATGTGTTATAAGTTTGTCTGTCAGTTGATGGCGATTTGCACCAAAATCATGATAATGGGAATGGGCCATAGAATATTGAGTAACTGCAACATGTAAACACCATAGGTTGGGGATGCAGGGATATTACTATGAAAAATTCATGATAAGGAAATTGAAATCATCATGGTTTTCACATTATTAACATAGTTCACCTGGACTCTACACAATACTCACAGTGTTTCTAGCAAGGTTGAGGTATCTGAGCTCTGGAAAAGGTGGAAACGACGGTGCTTTCTCATCTTTTTCTATATTTGGGGCACCATTTCTGGCTGTATCTACAATGTGTGGTGATGCCACTGTAAAGTCCAGATCTTTTATCCTTGCTGACAAGTCTCCCATTGTCCCACTAAACTCTGTCTCTAGGAGATCTGAAAGTTATAATCAAAAGTCACAAAAGGTTAGAAATATTTGATACCTAGATAAAATGTGAATACTTGGTTTTTTTTTCTCAGTGCAACTTGTACCTAAAGTTGAGGCCATGGTGATGTGACATTAGTTTTACAGCTTTATGCTTTGTTTTATGTACAATGATAACACTAATTTTGGCACTCTGACACTGAATATGTTGTCAATTTTTATACATAAAAAAAGAACCACAAACCCTATGTATTGCCATGGGGTAAGCTAGAGTTTAGGGTCAACACTATCCATTTTACAAAGAGGGATCATTGTGAACAGAATGTACAAGTGGTGAGGTAAAATACATGACATTCATTAACGATCACAAAACAAAAATATCATAGTTTATTTTTTATATTGTAAATGGTATAATTAAAAATTATTTTCATTCCCACAATTTCTGAAATGAGGGGATTTTTTTTCCCTGTTTTGGGCATTCTTTTCTTGATGGGAAATTTCCTTTATTCAGAAGAAAAAACTACCTTATTTTGGTTTGAAGATAAATCTAAATTAACATAAATCTCATTCTTATCTCTTTTAATTTTTATCTCTAATAAATACAAGGACACATCTGAACCAAATCTGCCATTTCATCACAAAATACAGGAACAACTTTTCTCCTCCCCCACAAAACTGATTATGGAATATTCCTAACATTACATGATTCTAATGAATTGCTGGGGACTTAAATACAGAGAATTATTATCAGTAATGTGAAAAAGATGCTTTCACAACATTATAAAATAAAGGTGGAGAAATCTGATGATTTTCAAAATGTAAACATCTCACCTGTTAAATTACTAGTTTCTGGTTTTTTGCTTACTGGGTCCTCCATTGATTTGACCTCTGACCTGATGTCCAATGTGTTAGCTGGGGCTAAGATTGACTCAGATGCCAGTGTTGTATCCATTTTCGACATCTCAGTTTTTTCACCTTCTGGTTGGTCAACAACCACCGACACCTCCTGTTCTCGTTCTGTTTGCTTTCCAGAATGAGGAGTACGAGCAGACTTTCGAGCAGACTTCTGAGCAGACTTTCGTAACTTTTCTGTGGCCTTCTCATCTTCATTGACCACCATTGTTCCCTCCACTGATTTTAGTTGTGGTACATAAAATATTTCATTCTTCTCCAGATTCAAATGTCTCAGTCTGTAAGAGAACAGAAATTGTTATCTTTACATCTGTTCAACAAGCTTCTCAGCGATCTAGCAACTTCATATTGGAAGATCATTCTTTTTCAAAAGAAGTCTTTTTTGATCAAGTTTACATCATTGTGGAAGTGAAATAGTTGATGCTTTTAAAAGTAAATTAAATTGCTAGAACATTAAGGAACTTATAACTAAAAAATACTCATAATTACATACTTGTTTAAACCTGCCAAAGCAGCAAACACACGCACATCAGCCAATCTGTTGTCATCCAACATTAAAATTTCTAAATTTTTGAATCTTGGTACTTGTCTTTTACTGGAAAAAAGAAATGTAAATAAGACCTAATGACATATCCTATAGTAGTTCAAAATGCTAATAAAACACCTCAAACTTAACATGAAACTAATCCTTCTCAGTATATATCTCAAGGACCTCTGTGTAAATATTGGTAAATCAAATATTATTTTCAATATATAAAAAATATGAAATGTCATTTCAAATGAGGGTATCAAAATGATATAGTTCAGATGCCAGATTTAAGGGTATTGATTTTAGTTTTATGTAAATCTGGTATCATAAAAAATACATCGAAGATATCAGCAATTTTCAATTTTTAGAATTACAATGATGAGATCAAGTACATCATCCATACATTGTCCATGTAGTGTGGAATTGTAGGAAACTCAAACATTCTGAGTATACAGGAACCATGGACAAACTTTACTGAAGGAAGCATTCTTTTGATATGTACCTGACTGGGTCAATGTAGGGGATGGCCATGTCTGTAGGTAGAGAGTGGAAGTTGTTACCAGTCAGGTGTAGCACTTTCAGGGAAGGTAGGGTGCCCAGGACCAGAATGTCATCATGTGATAGATTGTTATAGGACATATCCACCATCTGTAAAATACAATAACCATAGCAACATGTCAACCATCTGTAAAATACAATAACCATAGCAACATGTCAACCATCTGTAAAATACAATAGCAACATGTCAACCATCTGTAAAATACAATAACCATAGCAACATGTCAACCATCTGTAAAATACAATAACCATAGCAACATGTCAACCATCTGTAAAATACAATAACCATAGCAACATGTCAACCATCTGTAAAATACAATAACCATAGCAACATGTCAACCATCTGTAAAATACAATAACCATAGCAACATGTCAACCATCTGTAAAATACAATAACCATAGCAACATGTCAACCATCTGTAAAATACAATAACCATAGCAACATGTCAACCATCTGTAAAATACAATAACCATAGCAACATGTCAACCATCTGTAAAATACAATAGCAACATGTCAACCATCTGTAAAATACAATAACCATAGCAACATGTCAACCATCTGTAAAATACAATAACCATAGCAACATGTCAACCATCTGTAAAATACAATAGCAACATGTCAACCATCTGTAAAATACAATAACCATAGCAACATGTCAACCATCTGTAAAATACAATAACCATAGCAACATGTCAACCATCTGTAAAATACAATAACCATAGCAACATGTCAACCATCTGTAAAATACAATAGCAACATGTCAACCATCTGTAAAATACAATAACCATAGCAACATGTCAACCATCTGTAAAATACAATAACCATAGCAACATGTCAACCATCTGTAAAATACAATAACCATAGCAACATGTCAACCATCTGTAAAATACAATAACCATAGCAACATGTCAACCATCTGTAAAATACAATAACCATAGCAACATGTCAACCATCTGTAAAATACAATAGCAACATGTCAACCATCTGTAAAACATGCAAAACACTAGTCATTGCTAAACGTAGATTTATCTCTCTTTAAATTTCCTACACTGGAAACAAAAATGATATCACTTTTCATTTGCTAAAAACCAAAATGAGTAAATAACATAAAGAACAGATCACTCTAGTTTTAAGGTTCCGATATCTGCAGCCTAAATGAGTACTCACTTCAAGATGAGGATAGTCACCAGGATTCAGTTTGATATTTCTGATGGCGTTCAGGGGGACTTCAAGTTCTCTTATGATTGGAAATCCTCGAAAAGCCTCTGAAAACATCAAGAATGAAATTGTTATATTTTGTTGCTTTAGCTTTTTTGAAATTTCAGTGAATAATCAAGCAAAGGAAACATCTAGATCTGTTTATAACTTATAATACCTAATATACTGTTTATATATTTGGGAGCCATATTTATCCCAATCTGCAGTAAATGTAACACAGGTAACTGATAAAATGAAAATTATTTGATGTACTCCAGGAAATAAAAATTACCAAAAGGGAGGTAATTTTCTCCTGCATTGACATAAGCAACATTGTCAAACAGCTGGAAGTCCTCCTCTTTATATTCGGTCAGTTCCTTCCCTGCAATATTTACAGAACACAAGTCCACTGGGTCTTCTACGCAGCAGTGTTTCATCTGAAAATTCAAAATGTAATTTTATCTTTACATGTAAGGTGAGGAATTTACATGGACATTGAAAATTGTACCATCATTTAATCATAATCTTTAAAATTTCTGCTTTCAATTTGCATAACTTATAACTTATATAAGAGTAAAATACAGAGGAAACAAATTACACCAGGAACCACAAATTTTACAGCTACGGGATTTATAAAGTCATTGGTCAATTTAATGTTGTTGTTATCCATTTATCCTGATACTGATAACATATCTTGAAACATGGTGAAAAAGAAAAGAGTGCTATCTATAAACATAGTTTGTCTTTTGATATCTAACATTCATACATTACTTTTCAGGCTCTGATTTTATTATTTGAACCATGTTTTGAAATACATGTATACTCACCAAAAAAAATCCATCGAGCACTGGTGCCTCTTCCACATCCTCATCATCATCAATGAAGCTCTGGGTGGCTAAAGCTGTGCCCTGTTTCTCAGCCCTCTTCCTTTCACCTTTGATCCTGGAGTATGTACGTGGCTTTGTACAGAGAACAGCCTTGAAGCGACGTCTCTGCTCGGCCCTTTGAGCAATCAGCCATGCTCCGCTTCCTGAATTAACATTATCAAGGATACAAAAGGTAATTATGGAATGGATCACTTCTGAATCATGCTATTCAAACAATCCTTATCTTAGAAATTATAATTTTTTTATTATTTGTAATTTGAATCTAAATATATAATATCACATACAGTTTGCAAGTCAGTATAATTCACTGCTTTGATAATAAGTTGTTCGGGATCTGTGTCATTTGAGGTGTAGGTTTTTCCACTGTTTTCTATTGGCCTATGAATCATATTTTCAATGCAGGTGTTGACCTTACCAATACCAAATAATGTATCACAGTTACAACCATGGGTTTCAAAATCTCAGAGTATTGTAAAGTCAAAATGTCTGCCCGTTGTCTTTAATTTGTGATATGTTGCCCATTGACATGATAACAATGACTTTCAAAGAAACTAAATATTTCCATCTCAAACTGGCTTGACCCTTAGCTTTTCCTAGATGAAGAATTTAAGATAAGAACTTTGTCCAAAGGTGTACCAAAAATTCAGGTATGTTGAACTGTAAATAATGCAATGACAAGTGACTTTTCAGTTTCACATGGATATTATACCAAAGTGATAGAAATAGCCAATTACATTTTATTCAAAGCAGATCTGATGAAATGTAATGAACAAAAATTAAACATGGAAAAACAAAGTAGAATGCTACACAAAATGCAAAAAATCGTAACATACAGGATCACTACAGCATGATGCAGAATGAGAACAATTAACAGAAAATCTGAAATGAGACAGTAAGCATGAATGATCAACTGAAATGCGAACCACTGATCTATACCTTATAAACCATCTTGTTACCTAAATGCCATCAACATGATCACTCATTACTTTCAATAATGTAGATGTAAAATACAAATGAAATGACACCCACCATCTCTCCAGTGATCTAAGTGTTACCTGTAACCTGGTTCAACATCCGCATTGTCAGAGGAGCAACTAGCATTTTTAATTTTGGAAAAGTGACTCAAAGTACCTATGAATTTTTGCTTCCATGGTGAGGAAGATTTGCACGTCATTCATGACATGTAGTATGTATAGTGAAATTAGATAAATGAAGGTTTTACAATCTTTAAATGCACATATACTGCAATCTTACTTAGCAGGTGCCCCTTAAATCTTTTGAAAATGATCAGCATTCGTGTTTCTTATACAGCCTATTACAGTTTGCACATTGTAAAGAGAAGTGCTGAAGTTATCAACATTGCGTTGACTATATATGTTAATTTTTATTTTTTTTTAGGAAAACTTCTTTGCTTTCTGCGGTATTATTTCTGTATCTCTGAAATCGAGTTAATTCATTTTCTAGTGTTTAACAGGTCTCGTAGACTGATGTAACGATATGTGTACTTTAAAACAGAAACTGTCTGTACTCAATACGATCAATGTCATGATGGCGCATAAAACGAAACTTTAAGACGGGTAAAGGAATTTAGCATGAGAAATATCAAGGTATGACTTCACCAACATCACTGCGAGTAAGTAAATTTAACTAAATAACATTCCAACCCACCATCGTCCGTATTTCTGAGCAATGTTCGAACAGGAAAGCAGTTTGCTGCAAATCCATCGGGAACGGCCCCGTCATCATATTTTACGAACGGTGTGGCCGCCATTTTCAAACATCGCTACGGCAACGCGAAATCTCGGTGATTGACGAGACTTCAATCCATCCGGATCGTCCGAAATCGTTTCTTGTTTTATTGTTCAGTTAGTCACTTCCTCCAGTCAAAAAATTGTCGGAGAAGGTACGTTTAAGATGCAACTACATTTTTTGTCACTTTACTGGTGAATAGATCACACTGTGTATGTGACAGTGATCTTTTCTTCTATCATTTCAATATACAACGGAAACACTCTGACATTTATGAATGAAATCCTATATTCCTATCTGATGATCTTAACTTGAAGCAGGATTTTAACATGGCTCAATATAGCCAGGCCTAACAAATGCAACATGTTACATTTTTTCCAGTATTTAGTTGTATAGATTTTTGTAAAAATCACAAACTTAATCATCTCCCTTGCTTTTGTTGTGGCTAAAGATAACAGAATTAATATTTGTTATGAAAATATAAACGGTGTCATTGTAGCTGTTTAATAGTGTTAAAAAGGGACACTTTTTTTTGTAGCAAATAGTCTTTAAAAGAAAATTGTATGTTTCTAATTAAGATGCTAAGTTGCATATGAGTAACTATTTATTACTCAAAGCATTAACTCTCCTCAAATTCAGGAATATTACCCATATGCAGGCATGTGCTCAACTTGTTTCTAGGTACCATGGTATAAATATTGAATTACATCAACCCTGCATTTAGGGGTCTGAAACTAAACCAGAAATAGATATTGTCAGTTGCACGGACTTGGCCTACAGTCATCAAAAACATCTAGATGTAGTTATTGTGGTCTGCTTGTTATATTGTAGTATTCCATTAGCTTTTGTATCGCAGTCAGATTGACATAAAAAGTAAATGAAATGTCTGAAGAATTTGAATTAAATGTAAAATGTGTGACAACTGACAATGTGAAAAAATGCTAAGTCTGAATTATGCATCACCTTCCCTCAGCAATTTTTGTAGGGTGTTTTTTGAGTCCTAAAAATCACTATATACCAACAGACTAGCAAGTTATTGCTTGAAACAAGACAGAATGTCAGATGTTTTGCTTCTTTACATTTCACACCCATTTTTATCTGTTAAACAGTTCAGTTGCAAGAAATGATTTCCCCATCAAAAAATTTTTAAAATGTTGTTTCACCCCACCTCCAAAAGTGAAATCTAATAAACCATTGCAACACAATTAATGTACTACATATTCTTATGAACCATTAGAATAAATTGCCACATGTGAACTTAAAAGTCTTTACAAGTCTGTCTAAAATACCCATGCCTAGGAAACCTGTCTTTGAGGATATTTCCAAAATATACTAGTTTGATTATGCTATATGAGCCTATTTGATCTTGGTAGTCGTAAACAATATGTATATTTAGTCCGAGATAACAATAGTTAAAGTTGGATGCAAAACAAATTGATTTATAGTGCCTTGTTTTATGCAAATATAAAATACTGAAGCCATACGGCTTTAATGTAAAGATGTACAGTAGATTAGCTTTTTTTGCAAATGCTTACATTAGTTATTTAGTTTTACATCATGTAACTTGGTATTCTTTGATATTCAGTGATACAAATGGAATTTTAGCAAAAATACTGCAAATTTATGATACATTAATCACTAACAACATTCCTTATTATTTACAGTCATAGATGTAAAAAATGCCTTATCGTAGTGACAGTTCTAGTGACACTGAGAGCTCTTCAGGGTCCAGTCGTGATGACCATCAACGGCATTCCAGACAGAGGAGCAGCAGTTCCACTCCTCCACAGAGCCAAAAAACAAGATATGGTAGAAGTTCACCTGACTACAGTCTTAAGCAAATGTCAAGGTCACCTGTCAGAAAAAAATCCAGATCACCATTAAGAAGGAGGTCAAAGTCACCAGCAAGAAGAAGATCCAGGTCACCTGTAACAAAGAAGTTTAGATCACCATTTAGACATAAAGCAAGATCTAGGTCACCATTTAGACATAAAGCAAGATCTAGGTCACCCTTAAGAAGACGAATAAATTCGCCAGTACGTAGAAGGTCTCGGTCTAAATCTCCACCCAGACGAAAATCGCCAGAGTATAGACAATATAGACAACCATCAAGGAGGTCAAGGTCGATTTCACAGAGTAGGAGGTCAAGGTCACCAGAATTCAGAAATCACAGGCCACCAGATTGGAGAAGGGGAAATGGACCCTCTGCAGAAAATGGCCATGACAGAGGAGGTCATGAAGGTCAGATGGATCGGGGTGGAGATCGTGGAGGGAGGCATAACCAAAGTGGGGGTCATGGAGGACAAGAGGGAAAGGGAGGCAGGATGTCTAAGAATCAGCAGTTACCTGAATTTCTTGACAGGTAATATGATGGTTTTAGTGTCAAATTTTAATAAAGGTAGCGGCCACTTTGTGGAACAGCTTACCATCTGCTACTAGAAAGTCAAAATCCCTGGCCAAATTCAAGAGGGATATTAAAACCCACCTGTTTACGTCTGCATTTTAGACTCTCACGCAGACGTCCTGTATATACATACTTTCACCACTACTTACTTGATTTGGTTACTGTGTTACATATGTTGATTACTGTGTTATACATGTTCTATAAATTTTGTAGTAAGATTATTATCTAATTGTGAAGTGCATTAGAGTGTTTTGTCAAAATAGATAGTGCGCTATATAAATGTTGTATATTATTATAATTAATATTTGGGTACATGTTTGAAAACCAATAAAAAGTTGTTATAAAACTATTTGTGAAGACTCTAACTATTTACATTATATAGAAATTGTGTGAATATTGCTGAGTTTGCTGGAGATTGTTTACACTTTATTATTGATTCTCTTGAAGACGGCGGTGTGAGAGGGAACGTATTGGTGTTTGTGGAGCTCCAGAAGTCTGGGGGGCATCGCCAAATCATTTGATAGATTCTGAGTAAGTATAATGGAAAATTTCAAAATTATTTGATCGTTTCTGATTAAGTATTAAGGAAAATTGCCAAATCATTTGATCGTTTCTGATTAAGTAACAAGGAACATTTCCAAATCATTTGGTAATTTCTGATTAAGGAACATTTCCAAATCATTTGATCGTTTCTGATTAAGTAACAAGGAACATTTCCAAATCATTTGATCGTTTCTGATTAAGTAACAAGGAAAATTTCCAAATCATTTGATCGTTTCTGATTAAGTATTAAGGAAAATTGCCAAATCATTTGATCGTTTCTGAATAAGTATCAAGGAAAATTTCCAAATCATTTGATCATTTCTGATTAAGGAACATTTCCAAATCATTTGATCGTTTCTGATTAAGTAACAAGGAAAATTTCCAAATCATTTGATCGTTTCTGATTAAGTATCAAGGAAAATTGCCAAATCATTTGTTCATTTCTGATTAAGTATCAAGGAAAATTGCCAAATCATTTGATCATTTCTGATTAAGTAACAAGGAAAATTGCCAAATCATTTGTTCATTTCTGATTAAGTAACAAGGAAAATTGCCAAATCATTTGATCATTTCTGATTAAGTATCAAGGAAAATTGCCAAATCATTTGGTAATTTCTGATTAAGGAACATTTCCAAATCATTTGATCGTTTCTGATTAAGTAACAAGGAACATTTCCAAATCATTTGATCGTTTCTGATTAAGTAACAAGGAAAATTGCCAAATCATTTGATCGTTTCTGATTAAGTATCAAGGAAAATTGCCAAATCATTTGTTCATTTCTGATTAAGTATCAAGGAAAATTGCCAAATCATTTGATCATTTCTGATTAAGTAACAAGGAAAATTGCCAAATCATTTGTTCATTTCTGATTAAGTAACAAGGAAAATTGCCAAATCATTTGATCATTTCTGATTAAGTATCAAGGAACATTTCCAAATCATTTGATCGTTTCTGATTAAGTAACAAGGAACATTTCCAAATCATTTGATCATTTCTGATTAAGTATCAAGGAAAATTGCCAAATCATTTGATCATTTCTGATTAAGTAACAAGGAAAATTGCCAAATCATTTGATCATTTCTGATTAAGTATCAAGGAAAATTGCCAAATCATTTGTTCGTGTCTGAGGAAGAGTCAGGAAAAATTTCCGAATCATATGATAGATTCTGAGTAAGTGTCCAGGAGATTTCAAAGTCAATGTAATTGTTGTCATTACAAGTCGTCATCCTAACTAGAAGAAGCAATGTAAACGTTTGGGTGCTTTTCCAAGGTGTAGATTTGAAGTTAGTTTTTACTGTATCCGTTAAGTTATTCTATAGATTTTAAGGAATTGTTTAGGAGCTTTTCATTGTTGGTAAATATTGAGAGGCATTGTTGAGTTTATTTTGTGTCATTGATAACCTGATTTTATATAGGTCAGACGAGGACAGTAAGATCAAGAAAAAACACAAGAAAAACAAGTGGGAATCAGAATCTGTGAGTGACAGTGAGGACAGCTCAGACTCTGAAGGTGAATGAAATGTTTTAATCATTGAAAATTGTACTGACTTAGAATGGAAAGACACATTTATAGCAATGACACAGGGGTCATGAACCCACAAATTGAAGTTTAATAAGTAAATGAATGTTATGTAATTACCTAGTAATATGTTGGTGAAATATCAAAATATGAAGTACTGTCACAAACGGGCAAAATGAAAACAAATAAAGAACACAGGTAGTAATAGTATAATGGTTTCTTATTTTATGAAATGTCTTACTTTTATGCTTCAGAAGAAAAGAAAAAAAAGAAACACAAGAAAAAAAGCAGTAAAAAGAAGAAGAAGAAAAGCAGCAGAAAACACGGGTAAACATAACAATTACACGGGTATGGCATGGAAACTGGGAATCAATGTGGCATACAACAAAGTAAACATAACAATTACATGGGTATGGCATGGAAACTGGGAATCAATGTGGCATACAACAAAGTAAACATAACAATTACAAATACTGGTAATATTAGAACCGAAACGTGTGTTATACATACCCAGGTACATAGAGTATCATTATTGTTTATTGTTTTATATCAGATGACCATTCATGTTGTGTGTGCCTCTTGTTTGTCATCAGTAAAATCAAACTTACATCACAAGCCTGTCAGCTTCATTATAGTTGCATCTGAAATGTTACTGCTCGTTAATCAAAATGTTATTATACATGTAAAACTTTGTTTTGGTATGAACATTGAAATGCCATAATGGTTTCCTCATGAAATATAAGTACAAAAAAATTCTGCAGTATTACAGACATTTTTTGTTTAACTTTACTTCGAAGAAAAACTTAAAAAAACATCATCAAGATCTTCGATATTAATAAGTAGAGAATGTTTTTGATTCTTTTGCAGAAAGAAGTACAAAAAGGAAAAGAAGGCCAAGAAATCAAGAAAAAAGAAAAAAATAAGTGAGAGTGAATCTGACAGTGAGAGTTCAGAAGAAGAAGAGATTGTCTGGGTGGAGAAGAAAAGTAAGGAGAGAAGTAATGGGGACATTCTCCCACACATTTCTGATGTGTTAGGGAAAGATAAATATGGCATAAGAAAAGACAAGGCAATGATGCTTTGACATTGACAACTATATATTTTTTTTTTTTTTTTGCATAATTCAGGGCACAATTAGATAATGTCATCAATTTTGCCCCATTTCCCATTCGCCATGGATGATAGCATGATAAATTAATAAGAAAAATCTTTTGATATTTTATGATTATGATAGAAAAATGTAGGAGGGAACTGATCAATAATATCTGTGTTGTCATGGTTATGTGGACATAGTAATCTCAACCCTCATTGAAAAACAGATATAATTTAGTTCTCTACAAAGCCATCAGAGTGATGACAAATTCCACAAATGTATGTAGACTACGTACACACTTTGCCCTTGAGCTTGGTATATGAGACTTGGGGCACTTTTGCAAAAGCAGTTGCAACAGTTGAACCTGCAAGAAAAATGCCAGGTACAGATCAGGACCGAGGCTGGTCTGCAGAATATTTGGCACATGCATTTTGAGGGGTCCAGCCATACCTGTCCGAAATTAACTCACTGAATATCATTAGTTTTCAGAATTTCAGCATAAAGAAGAGTCAATGCACGCAAATATTTCTGAAAGCATTGTGCTATAAAGTATGAGTGAAATGGATGGTATCTTAATTTTAGTTAATTGTTTGACAGGAAATTCTGAAACTGTGCATTTTGAGCTTTACATATATCAGGTCCAACTTCCAGTTCATGTGCATTTGTGTATAGTGGAATAATTTCAGACCAACTGAACCATTTTAACCGGATTATATGAAGGCAGCCTATCATTTTATTTAATGCATTACTTTGATACAACTTAAGCAAATAAGTTACTGCTAAACAAGACTGAAGTCTAGCTTGTTTACTGTCCGATTCATTTTGCTGAATATATCAATTTTATAGATTTAGGACAGAAAAACAATTCCTTAGTGAGGTACCAGTATATAGTAGGTGTTTTGGTTAAAGAATAGAAATTCAATCAAGATTATTTATGTTCACAGAGAAGCTGGATGGAGAAGGCAGTGATGAAGACATGGTTGGTCCCTCTGAATATGTAGAGTCTGCTGCCGCCAAACAGCTAGAGTGAGTTTTATCTAGAATCATAGTCTGAACTAGTGAGGCTTATCTTGAATCATAGTCTGAACTACTGAGGCTTATCTAGAATCGTACTCTGAACTAGTGAGGCTTATCTAGAATCGTACTCTGTACTAGTGAGGCTTATCTAGAATCGTACTCTGAACTAATGAGGCTTATCTAGAATCGTACTCTGAACTAGTGAGGCTTATCTAGAATCGTACTCTGTACTAGTGAGGCTTATCTAGAATCGTACTCTGAACTAATGAGGCTTATCTAGAATCGTACTCTGAACTAGTGAGGCTTATCTAGAATCGTACTCTGTACTAGTGAGGCTTATCTAGAATCGTACTCTGAACTAATGAGGCTTATCTAGAATCGTACTCTGAACTAGTGAGGCTTATCTAGAATCGTACTCTGTACTAGTGAGGCTTATCTAGAATCATACTCTGAACTAGTGTGGCTTATCTAGAATCGTACTCTGAACTAGTGAGGCTTATCTAGAATCGTACTCTGAACTAGTGAGGCTTATCTAGAATCGTACTCTGTAGTAGTGAGGCTTATCTAGAATCGTACTCTGAACTAGTGAGGCTTATCTAGAATCGTACTCTGAACTAGTGAGGCTTATCTAGAATCGTACTCTGTACTAGTGAGGCTTATCTAGAATCGTACTGAACTAGTGAGGCTTATCTAGTGAGAACTAGTGAGGCTTATCTAGAATCGTACTCTGAACTAGTGAGGCTTATCTAGAATCGTACTCTGAACTAGTGAGGCTTATCTAGAATCGTACTCTGAACTAGTGAGGCTTATCTAGAATCGTACTCTGAACTAGTGAGGCTTATCTAGAATCGTACTCTGAACTAGTGAGGCTTATCTAGTGAGAATCGTACTCTGAACTAGTGAGGCTTATCTAGAATCGTACTCTGAACTAGTGAGGCTTATCTAGAATCGTACTCTGTACTAGTGAGGCTTATCTAGAATCGTACTCTGAACTAGTGAGGCTTATCTAGAATCGTACTCTGAACTAGTGAGGCTTATCTAGAATCGTACTCTGAACTAGTGAGGCTTATCTAGAATCGTACTCTGAACTAGTGAGGCTTATCTAGAATCGTACTCTGAACTAGTGAGGCTAGTGAGGCTTATCTAGAATCGTACTCTGTACTAGTGAGGCTTATCTAGAATCGTACTCTGAACTAGTGAGGCTTATCTAGAATCGTACTCTGAACTAGTGAGGCTTATCTAGAATCGTACTCTGTACTAGTGAGGCTTATCTAGAATCGTACTCTGAACTAGTGAGGCTTATCTAGAATCGTACTCTGAACTAGTGAGGCTTATCTAGAATCGTACTCTGAACTAGTGAGGCTTATCTAGAATCGTACTCTGTACTAGTGAGGCTTATCTAGAATCGTACTCTGAACTAGTGAGGCTTATCTAGAATCGTACTCTGAACTAGTGAGGCTTATCTAGAATCGTACTCTGAACTAGTGAGTCTTATTGTGAGACATCCTATAAACTAGTGAGCCTTTCCTAGAATCATCCTTTGAACCTCTTCGTCTTACTTTTTATCATCCTTTGAACCAGTAGAGGGGGGACAATTCATCATGTATTGAAATTCCTTCAAGTGAAATGAATTAACAAGTTTGTAAACACAAGTGAAAGATTCTGTATATCATAATGTACCTCAAAAAGGAGGCTTTTCAATTAAGTTTCAATGCCCCTCCATTATACCTAGATGTATTTATCATGCCGCAGTAGTGTTATGATGCAGGGTTTTGATAACTTTTAGATAACAGAGAGACATTTAGCTACAGTAAGGTCCTGTTATTACAGGAACATTTATACTTATAGCTACAGTAAGGCCCTGTTTTCACAGTAATGTTGATATTTACAGCTATGGTAAGGCCCTGTTGCCAGGAGAAGGTGCAGCCATGGCAGCTTACATCGCAGAAGGCAAGCGTATTCCACGCAGAGGAGAAATTGGTCTCACTAGCGATGAAATTGTTTCGTTTGAGGATATTGGATATGTGATGAGTGGAAGCAGGTTTGTTGCTTACCAAGCTGTTTTTATTTCAGTAGGTGTAATGATTGTAGTTGATGTGTACAGTTACCCCAATAAGATCAATCTGTGTCATGACTTCTATTGAAGAGGAATAGAAAAAGAAAAATTATGTTGTTGCCTACCAGTTAATATCAGGCAAAGAAACAACAGAACCTGGTTTTTATAAGGATTAGGCAATTCTGTAAACCAACTTTCTACTTTGGCAAATTTCATGATCAAGCAAAATTACAAAAGTGAATTGGCGCAAATTAAAGCATATATAGCTCAGTTATAATCAACTTTCATCATTAACATTGTTGCTTTACAAAATGACTACCCAGGTATATGTCTGTATCCTGAATCTATGTGTACAACTATAACATGTTTTGTAAATCTGTGTTTTAATATTCTGTGTCGACGACATAATTATTCCCTGGAGCATTCAATTATGGAGTTAGATTTTGTCTTTTGTAAATGAAACACTCAGGTAGGGATCTGTAGCATGTTTGAATTCTATGACTGGGTCACTGTTACACGTAGCTATGCAAGTTTTCAGGTAGCTGTGATCAATCTTCATATTGCTATCAAATCAAAAGCAAAATTTGTTACTGTATAGGAACAGATCACTACTGACCCGTGTCCCCCAAACGTCAAATGGTAGAAAGACCAATCGTGGCCAGATAAGGGTCTATCTACAGGTTTTCATGATGGTTGCTGAAAATTTGGGAAAGCAAATCACTATTAACATTGTTATATTACTGAAATCGTAAAGTTTGCAGATGGAAAGAAAGTTGTTAACTGTTGTTCTTTTGGTGACGAAATTTTCACTTAGAAATCATGATATATATCATGAAATATATGATAGGTCATTTAAAGGTTCAGATACAAGCTATAATCTATACACTGAGCATTGAGAAGTGATAAATTGATTTCTTAACTAAAATTTCCATGTACACAAGGACAAGACTTTAACTTTTTCATGTTGTAATTTGTTTTTTCATTAATCTTTCAAATCCTGTATTTGAACAGACATCGGAGAATGGAAGCTGTCCGTCTACGTAAGGAAAACCAGATTTACAGTGCTGATGAGAAGCGAGCTTTAGCTAAATTTAACCATGAAGAACGTTCAAAACGCGAGACGAAGATCCTATCACAGTTCAGGGAAATGGTTAGAAAAAAGACAGGAAATAAGAACTAGTGTTAAAGTGTTGATATGAGAAACAGACTCAATCATGTGATGGTAGGCTAGCCATTTACTTGTGAGCATGAGAATTGTTTCATTACCAGATGTTTAACAAAATCTTTACAGCTTTTAGGAAAACCAATACATATATTGTAAATTGTAAAGTTTTGATTAAAGAATTTAATACTATTGATAAAATGCTTTCATGTTTACTGCAGACAAACCTTGTCACAAATTATGAATTTTCAGCTTTTGTTTGACTTGTTTTTGGAGGGAAGGGGGGGGGGGGGGGGGGGAGGTTTTCTTTGCCCGATACCTTTCCTTCTGAAATCATAGTTTTTCTGAAGCTGTAATAATGATGAATAATGCCAAGAAACGAAAACTGTTTCCACAAGGTAGAACCTACACATAAATACTGAGTAATACTTTTTCCAGTACTCGAGAAATAGTAATAACAAACTAAAAAATATCAAAATCCAAGATGGTCTCCTGTCAGCCATTTTGGTTTCTTGAGAAAATGCAAAATTAAGTAATCACAACCACAGACCAAGAGGAACCTACACATAATAAAGTCAGAGAAATATCTATCAGTATTTCTCAAGAAATGGCAATAACAAATTTTCTCTGCCAAAATCCAAGATGACTGCCTATTTGGCCCTTTTGCTTTACTGATCGGGCTTAAAATCAAAGTGGCAATACCAGGGAGATATCAAATTAGAAATACTGTTGTAAATCTTCTCAAGAAATGGTCATAACAGACTTTGATTGTCAATATCCAAGGTGGCCATTTTGTTTCACCGATAAGATCTAAAACTAAATGGGCACAAGGGATAGAGGGGTATATACATATGTAGTTTGAGAAATAAGTACACGAAGGTAGGTTGGCTAAATATAGTGTCAGGATGTTCTGATTGCCCAACCTTGTAAAGGCAATCTTAGCTTGCAGCTGTAAGCTTAATAGAAGGCAAGCTAAATACTGTAGTTTTCATAGAGGTTTGTTGAATATAGAAGCTGGAAGTATCAAATAAAACAGAATGGTAGATATAAGCATGTAGTCCACACAGACATTGACCTCTAACCTCAAACTTTACTTGGAATATTCAAATTAGAAGATTACTTTAATACTTTGTTCAGTGTATAGAGTCCGGTTCATACGAATGAATGACGTGGTATCTCTGTGTTCTCTACCTAAATATTGACTTGTTGTCAATATGATAATGCAGGGTATATTACAGATCATTCTGGTCAGACAATGTAAAGATTGTGTACTGCCGACTTCCAATCGATAGTCCAAATCTTCCAAAAACAACAATTTTACATATAACTGAGTATTTATAACTTTTATTTCTCCTTGGATATACTACAGAACCTTACTTTTAAGACTTTTTTTTTCACCATTGTTGTAAGATGACAAAACATTATAGCTTTCTTAAATTGCATCCGTCATATAAAAAAGCAACAGAACTAGTGCTCTTTTGGATATTTGTTTTAAGGTTAAAGAAATATTCTAGCTTTAAATCTCAAAAATATTATAGCAATTATCAGTCCAACGCCTGGAAATAGATCCATCCCGTTGTATTTTTTTTCAGCTGAATCACCAATAAGTGCTATTTCACACTGTCTGCAATAAGCTCTCCTCTTGACAGAAGTTCTGTGCCTCTGGGCTTATTAACGGACAGTTCCAAGAATACAATCAAAATTCTTCAGAGAAAATATGAATGAAATGCTGAATACAATTATTGTAGACACTAAACATATATAATTTTTCTCTTAAACATTATTTAATTAAAGTTCAACACTGAAAAAAAATTATAATAATATGATATTAGATCATGATTTCTGTTGATTATTTTGGTATTGTCTACTAATGAAAAGCTTGTATAAAACATGTTCAATAATGATAATGAAAGGTGACAACAAAACTTATAACATTTCAGAAAACTGTCTTCACAACATGAAGTGGACATGGATGAATATGTTTACTGATATACCTGTACCAGAATTCATTGACTGTAATATATAAATAACTATAACAGTGATATTTTATTTCAAATTTCATGGTATTATGAAGAAGTCGACAATATAAGACCCAATAATTTGTCACAAACTTTTAAATCTTTTTCTTAAATAAGAAAAATTCTGATTTAAGACTGCCAAATCTGAAGTGCCTAGAATAGTACTCGACTGTAACCATTTTGATGATGGTTCTAGGATGATGATTGTTTGGAATCTGCCAAGGTCACATCAGGACAGGTCTAGTATAACAAACACAGAAATGTTGTGTTCCTAAATAAATGAAGGACTTAAACTTGTCAACTGCTGTGAATTTTATTTTTATTTTATAAAAACAATTGAAGTTTCTTTCTTAAATCAACCATAAAATACAATTCCATAAAAATTTGTATTAACAAAATGTCGGTCAATATTACCGGAATCAGACGGGAATTTCTAGTATACACTTCTCTTCCTACAGAAAGGTGATCTCACATACTAAATAAACTCAAAAGGAGTGTTAAACACTCCTCAACCCCTTTCTTGTTGATATTCCAGTTAAATGTTTTAAAACCCACAGTACCTATTAAAGCAAACCTTTCAAAATAATACAGTACAATGGCAGACATATACATAAATAATGCAGTAAAGATGCTCTCGTCAGGACCAATTATTGTCATGTTCCTTTTTTAGAGAAAAATTTGTTGCAGATTGTCCACTGAACACACTTTTCACACCCATGTCTGGTCCCAGAATACTAGTACTTGCTGCCCCTGGGGTTTGTTTCGACGTTCCGCTCCCCTGCGGCATGGACACCACCACGATCTTAGGTTGAGGTGTCGAGGGTAATGACCCTGAACTGGTTGTTGACCCTTGACCTCCAGACGACATAACTTTGACGATTGTTGTTCCAGCAGTGCCACTTGTCATGCTGAGAGGATTACTAACAGGAGCTGGCTGACGAGGCTGGGAGGACATGATGACAAACTTCTGTTGTCCACCAATAGAGGTTGGAGTTTTTGGTAGGTTGATGCTGTTAGGGAGAGACAGTTGACGTGGGGTAGAAGGGGTAGTGGGCTGTGAGCCAGGGTGGATTATCATCCTTGGCTGAAAGATAAAACACAGATGTTTGACTCCATATTGTGTAATCTCGTGATTTTCAAATATTATGAAATGTCTAATGATGTGCAGCTGAAGTTGAGGATGAAAATACTTGTAGATGTGGTACATAGTTTTTACCACGGGCTGTTACCCATTAAAGTGTTCGAAATTCACTGTTTGTAACAACAGAATGGTAACAAGACATCACTGGCCCTAACATAACTTAATCTAGACCGATGATTCTCACATTTCGGATATGGACGGAGGGGTAATGATTGCTTGAGAGGTATGGACAGAGGGATTATATGAACTGTGGGATACATATCACCTGTAGGATATGGACTGAGGGATTACACTTGCCTGTGTGAAATAAACTTAAATATAACTCTCCCCATTAGGAGGTAGACACAGGGACAGTTTTAAACCTGGGAGATATGGAACGAGGAATAACTAACCTGGGGGATATGGAACGAGGGATAACTTACCTGGGGGATATGGAACGAGGAATAACTTACCTGTGGGATATGGAACGAGGGATAACTTACCTGGGGGATATGGAACGAGGAATAACTTACCTGGGGGATATGGAACGAGGGATAACTTACCTGGGGGATATGGAACGAGGAATAACTTACCTGGGGGATATGGAACGAGGAAGAACTTACCTGGGGGATATGGAACGAGGAAGAACTTACCTGGGGGATATGGAACGAGGAAGAACTTACCTGGGGGATATGGAACGAGGAATAACTTACCTGGGGGATATGGAACGAGGAATAACTTACCTGGAGGATATGGAACGAGGAATAACTTACCTGGGGGATATGGAACGAGGGATAACTTACCTGGGGGATATGGAACGAGGGATAACTTACCTGGGGGATATGGAACGAGGAATAACTAACCTGGGGGATATGGAACGAGGGATAACTTACCTGGAGGATATGGAACGAGGAATAACTTACCTGGGGGATATGGAACGAGGAATAACTTACCTGGGGGATATGGAACGAGGAATAACTTACCTGGAGGATATGGAACGAGGAATAACTTACCTGGGGGATATAGAACGAGGAATAACTTACCTGGGGGATATGGAACGAGGAATAACTTACCTGGGGGATATGGAACGAGGGATAACTTACCTGGGGGATATGGAACGAGGGATAACTTACCTGGGGGATATGGAACGAGGAATAACTTACCTGGGGGATATGGAACGAGGAATAACTTACCTGGAGGATATGGAACGAGGAATAACTTACCTGGGGGATATGGACTGAGGGTCTTCCTGGTCCTGGACCTGGACCTGCCGACTGACCACTACCTGATGACCGTCTCTCTCGTTCCACAGCATTAAACAACAGCTGACCGACATACCCAAACTCAGCGATGTAACTATCAACACTATTATTGGGACTTCTGCTAACCTTCAGAACTGGGGGGATATATTTCTGTAACAAAAATAACATACAGAAACATACATATCACAGTTAACAAGGTATTTATACCTAAGTTCAATATATAGGAAAACTTATCAATAAACAACTTATACACAAATATATCTAGATAATTATTAACTTTATACATTCTAAAACCAAAGTACTGTAAAAAGTGGAAGTGGTTTGATAGAACAGAGAGTGCATCTACAAGATATATAGAGTGTCATGAAATTTAAATTTGACTTTGAATATGTGCAATAAAGTTTGTACTTTTGAGTGTAATACAAATTCCTCAATATCATGTACAGGAACCTGCAGCTGAGAACTTTATCATATGTCCTTTGCCTTTATCTGATATCAGAGGGTTGTTTTAAGGAATACATGTAATGATGAAACTTGTCTGAAAAATTTACTCCAGAACCTACGGATAAACTAACAGTGCATTGGTCCCTATAAGTCATATAAGTATTCTGAAACCGTAGCCTATATCTGTAACATCTGATGGCAGTCGGTTCCCAAAGCATATATAGAAACTGTTAGACAGAACAGACAGTATGAAGGTTCATCAAGTTAGACAGAACAGACAGTATGAAGGTTCATCAAGTTAGACAGAACAGACAGTATGAAGGTTCATCAAGTTAGACAGAACGGACAGTATGAAGGTTCATCAAGTTAGACAGAACAGACAGTAAGAAGGTTCATCAAGTTAGACAGAACAGACAGTATGAAGGTTCATCAAGTTAGACAGAACGGACAGTATGAAGATTCATCAAGTTAGACAGAACAGACAGTAAGAAGGTTCATCAATTTAGACAGAACAGACAGTATGAAGGTTCATCAAGTTAGACAGAACAGACAGTATGAAGGTTCATCAAGTTAGACAGAACAGACAGTATGAAGGTTCATCAAGTTTGACAGAACGGACAGTATGAAGGTTCATCAAGTTAGACAGAACAGACAGTAAGAAGGTTCATCAAGTTAGACAGAACAGACAGTATGAAGGTTCATCAAGCGCACAGAATGTGAAACAAATACTTACAGTGAGCATTTTCTTTATGTTATCTGCCGCGATTTTGTCCACATTGTTGAGAACTATAGCGTCAACAGTTTGCTTCAAGTGTTCCCCAAGTGAACTCACATGTGGCAGCAGGAAGGATTTGATCACCTGTAAAAGAATAAGATCAAGTAGTAACAGTAGATTCAATTCCAATAGAATGCTTATTTAATCCTGTGTAGAAAGTCTGAGCTACTAATTTTAATATTTCTGAATATATTAATACTCCAGAACTATTCAGGTCAAGTTTTCATATTTTTTCATGACACATGATCCAAATAAACATTTCACTGACAATGGCATTTATCTGAGCCAGATTCTCCAAGCCAAGCTACTTCCCTGTACTGTGTCACTGAATTTTCCCAACCAAACTTCTGTCCTATATTATGCTGCTACAAATTCCTGACATCTGAGTCGAGGTCTGGAAGTCCAGCTACTTCCATAAAATGTGTCACACTTACCTCGGAAGAGGGTTCTCACAACCAAGCTACTGCCATGTACTGTGTAGCTATTAAAAAATCTCAACTCTGAGCTGAGATCCCCCAGTCAAGCTACTGACTGGAACGTTTGCTATTAAATGCTCACATCTGAGCCCAGTTCTCTAAGCCCAGCTACTGACCCGAACATTTGCTATGGAATACTCACCTCTGAGCCCAGTTCTCTAAACCCAGTTCTCTAAACCCAGCTACTGCCCTGAATGTTTGCTATGAAATACTCACCTCTGAGCCCAGTTCTCTAAGCCCAGCTACTGCACTGAATGTTTGCTATGAAATACTCACCTCTGAGCCCAGTTCTCCAAGCCCAGCTACTTCCCTGAATGTTTGCTATGAAATACTCACCTCTGAGCCCAGTTCTCCAAGCCCAGCTACTGCACCATATTGTGTTGCCAAAGCGATCTTGTCACTCTGGAGGGCCATACTAAAAGTCTTTGTTATCCTGGCCTGTATGTTGTTAGTGTTTGTGCTGAAGTTTCTGTGGGTAAATAAGTAAATGTCCGATAAAAGCATGTTTAGAGTGCTGACCCCACATCTCATCAGACATGTGGATGGGTATTTGTAGCAATTCCTTTTACTCTCTGTTGTGTTGTTATCATTACCGAGGTATATTATTATTAAATGATATTTTTCACACTTTCTAATTGGCTGAAACAGTGTCACATAATTCCAAACAACAATGATGAATATAAGAAAATACTTCAGTATATGACCGACATCAAAAAGATAATGACCAAGGACAAAGTTATTTTTTTATAAGATTAATATATCGTTAATAAACCAATTAATGGGGTATAATCATATATTAACGCCTTTCAATGGTGTGCTCTATTGAACAATCCCTGCCATGGTGTGCTCTATCATTCAAACACCTTCTGCTTTGGTGTGTTTAACCCATCAAACACCTTCTGCTTTGGTGTGTTTAACCCATCAAACACCTTCTGCTTTGGTGTGTTTAACCCATCAAACACCTTCTGCTTTGGTGTTTAACCTATCAAACAACTTCTGCTTCGGTGTGTTTAACCCATCAAACACCTTCTGCTTTGGTGTGTTTAACCCATCAAACACTCTCTGCTTTGGTGTGTTTAACCCATCAAACACATTCTGCTTTAGTGTGTTTAACCTATCAAACACCTTCTGCTTTGGTGTGTTTAACCCATCAAACACCTTCTGCTTTGGTGTGTTTAACCCATCAAACACCTTCTGCTTTGGTGTGTTTAACCCATCAAACACTCTCTGCTTTGGTGTGTTTAACCCATCAAACACCTTCTGCTTTGGTGTGTTTAACCCATCAAACACCTTCTGCTTTAGTGTGTTTACCCTATCAAACACTTTCTATTTTGGTGTGCTTTATACATCAAATACCCCTGCTTGTGGTCCACCCATCAAACACTCCCTGCATTGGTGTGCTCTACCCATCAAACACTCCCTGCATTGGTGTTCTCTACCCATCAAACACTCCCTGCATTGGCATGTTTATCAAATACCCCCTGCTTGTGCTTTATCCATCAAACACCTTCTGAAACAGCCCTACCTTGGTGTTATCTGACTATGAAGTTTTCTACCTGACTATGAAGTTTTCTATCTGACTATGAAGTTGCCCTGTATACACCTACTTGGATATCTGAGCCATAAGACGAGCAGCAAAGTCTCGGAGAGCCCAGTGATTGTCCACGTCTGGCCTCATACACAACTGCTTACTGACAATACAGGTGGTCACTGCTGGGATAAACTCATGTAACTGAAATACAAAAATTGGTTGAAGGATTATGTATCACTGGAACAGCCGTGATGGATTCTGTTATGGATTTCGTGTAATACTTCTACAAGTGGCTTGTACCTAAATTCTTCAGTCTTAATTGATTTCAAAGGTCAAGTCATATAATCACTAGGTGTATTTACAGAAATTTGATCTCCTAATTACAGAATTATTGGTTATGGATGTGAAGCTGAAGTGTTAAAATGACAAGAGATTACTTCAACATACATGACTTGTCTGTAATATCATATACATGTATTGCAATAAATGTTTGCCTTTAAAGCTGTGTCATTTAATCAGCTATAAATGCCATATAAAGAAAGTTTAATGACTGTGTATTTTATAGACTTTTGACTATTTTAAGTATTCCTCACTGAAATTTAATATCATGTCACTAAATGATATTTACATATCTCTGCAAGGTTAACATAAGGGATTTGCCATGAAAATGTATACATACATATATAGACACTATTGCAAAGTTTAAATGTATGTAGTTTTTCCAAGTGATTCTCGAGAAAAAGAAACTGTTCTAGATTCCTCATTTTTCCTATTGATGATTATGACCACATGGACAAAACTGATTTTTTGGTGTAATTTTTCCTAAAACAGATTCCTTTAACTCAAAAAAGGAGATCTAGATACATGTTCTAGTTATCATGCATCTTTTGATAATTTTGTAAACATTTGTGAAAACTATTTCTTATTTCACCGAAACATAATTTAAATCAGTGATATTCTCACTACGTAACTTATTCCTCAGTGATGTCATCATGCATATGAAAAAATGAAGTTAATCATAGCTTTGCCAAGAGATATCATATGTGTTATCATAGTAAAACTTTATCTAAAAACTATTAAAACACTAATAACAATATATATAAGGGCAAAACCTGTAGACCAACTACCAAATAAAACATTATACCCCACCTCCAGTATGTTGGATTGATTCATCCTTAATCAATAACAACATAGTTACATGACATACACAGTGTCCTCAACAGGTAGTTATAACAAGTACTCAATAATCACACTTACATATTTTTCTAAATACAGGGTCTGGTTGTCCATCAAAGACTTCACCATCCTCATCAGATAGATCAGCAGAGCCAGATTATTCTGTACAACATTAATTTTCACCTGAAAAAAAATTCAGTATAATTAGGTATTGCTTTCCCACCTGTAGTTTTGTAACAACCCTCACCCTCCCCAAATTATCATTATTTCTCTCTTTTATTACCAATTTTTTTCCATAATTGTACCTTTACTGTTCTCAAAATAAACTGATTGGTAACCTGTGCACTGCCAGCAATGATAATCTGTAACCTGCTACATCAATATTAAGAGATTTTTGTAGATCAACACAGACATTGATGTCAGTAATGTAGGAGAAGAATCAGGCAGTTTGTAGCTATACTTTGTAGAAATATTCACTTTATCAAAATCAGAAGATAAAATAGTTTATTTTAACAATTAATGAAGAGAAATATACAAGTGTACAGTCAGCAGATAAAAACAAAATTCCCAGTAAATAATTACCATCTTAAACATGATCACTTTCATGCACATTTCCGAAGGATGTGTTACATAAACAAAGCAAGAAAGTGTTTATCAATCCTAGAAAGTCTGATATGACTGTAACAGGTTATATAACTATACCTGTCTAGGTATTGATATTAGGCAGACATTTATATCAAGATGGTTTTGATAAACCCCATTATACTTACCCCTTCTGAAATAAAACTGCTGAAGCGTGGCAGCATTTGATGCAGACCTGGATCTGTGGCCAGACTCTGTAGAGCCTCCTTTAAATATAACAAGCAAGCAAATTGAGTCACACGGAATTAATTACTCATCTAAGCATGTAAATCTAACAATACTATGTGGGTAAATTAGCATTGGCTAAATATGTATTTCATCCTCAATATATGAAGTTGGATGTTATAAAACTTTCAACTAGCCAATCACGATCACCCTTTTTGGAGTCACATTTGATGGTCATTCTTTTTTGGGTCAAATTTGACAGATTTGATTCCTCTCTTATCAAAAATGTCAATGTTACAAACAATTTCCTTTTTTTATTTGTACTTCTGATACCTACCACCATATATCATACGGTACAGAAACTCTTTAAAAAAAACTTACATTTTGTACATACCAGTAACACTTTGTACATACCAGTAACATTTTGTACATACCAGTAACATTTTGTACATACCAGTAACATTTTGTACATACCAGTAACATTTTGTACATACCAGTAACATTTTGTACATACCAGTAACATTTTGTACATACCAGTAACATTTTGTACATACCAGTAACATTTTGTACATACCAGTAACATTTTGTACATACCAGTAACATTTTGTACATACCAGTAACATTTTGTACATACCAGTAACATTTTGTACATACCAGTAACATTTTGTACATACCAGTAACATTTTGTACATACCAGTAACATTTTGTACATACCAGTAACATTTTGTACATACCAGTAACATTTTGTACATACCAGTAACATTTTGTACATACCAGTAACATTTTGTACATACCAGTAACATTTTGTACATACCAGTAACATTTTGTACATACCAGTAACATTTTGTACATACCAGTAACATTTTGTACATACCAGTAACATTTTGTACATACCAGTAACATTTTGTACATACCAGTAACATTTTGTACATACCAGTAACATTTTGTATATACCAGTAACATTTTGTACATACCAGTAACATTTTGTACATACCAGTAACATTTTGTACATACCAGTAACATTTTGTATATACCAGTAACATTTTGTACATACCAGTAACATTTTGTACATACCAGTAACATTTTGTACATACCAGTAACATTTTGTACATACCAGTAACATTTTGTACATACCAGTAACATTTTGTACATACCAGTAACATTTTGTACATACCAGTAACATTTTGTACATACCAGTAACATTTTGTACATACCAGTAAATCCTTCAGAGTTTTATTTTCTGTTCATTTGATTTTTTTGTAACATATTTCATTTTCAAAAACAAAAATTTGACAAAGCAATTTCATAACACAATGCACATGAACATGAGTAGCTATGTAAGTAGGTCCATCCAAATATCAGATCACCCGTCAAATCTAATTATCATCAACATTGAAATAACAAATTTCATAGTTTCATTAGTTTTATATTCTACTAGAGTGTAGTCGATAACCTGTATCAAAATAAAAAATCTAATCTACAAATGTAGATAAAAACATAGTCTCTAACCAAAACTCTGGATCTATGTAAACAATGAAGATAAACATCTAAACAAAGAATTTGTAACTTAATATCTGTGAACTTAAGTAACCTTACCGAACGTCGCCCCTCGTCTGGTCCAACACAAGCCTCTGTTATTTCCTTGTAGTACAACTGCTGTTCCTGTGTCAATAAATATTTTATTGATATATTATGATGTAAATAGAGTAAGATTTACATATCCTGAACAAAGAAATTATTATCATCTGTAAATAAAATGGTTCAAACATTGTCATGTCACCTTGAACTTTTGATTTTGAATGATGACCATTAAAATTTCATGTCATGTGAAAACTGATATAAAGATTCTAAAAGTAAAAACAAGAGGCCCATGGGCCTTAACGGTCATCTGACAAAAAGCAAGCCAAACCTAGAAAGTGGGTTGAGGTCATTCATTTGAATAAACTTGGTAGCCTTTCCTCCCAGCATGCTACAGACCCAATATCGGCACTCATAGACTTTTGCTTATTGAGATGAAGTCCTTTGTATATTTTAACATATTTGACCCCTGTGACCTTGAAAGTGGGCCAAGGTCATTCATTTGAACAAACTTTGTAGGGCTCCATGCCAGCATGCTATGGGCCAAGTATTAGCCCCCTAGGCCTTCTAGTATTTGAGAAGAAGTTATTTAAAGATTTTGACATATTTGACCCCTGTGACCTTGAAAGTTGTTCAAGGTCATTCATTTAAACAAACTTGATAGCCCTTCATCCCAGCATGCCACAGGCACAATATCAGCAATCTAAGCCTTTTGGTTATTGAGAAGAAGTTGTTTAAAGATTTTAACATATTTGACCCCTGTGACCTTGAAAGTGGGTTGAGGTCATTCATTTGAATAATTTTGGTAGCCTTTCCTCCCAGCATGCTATAGACCCAATATCGGCACTCATAGACTTTTGCTTATTGAGATGAAGTCCTTTGTATATTTTAACATATTTGACCCCTGTGACCTTGAAAGTGGGCCAATGTCATTCATTTGAACAAACTTTGTAGGGCTCCATGCCAGCATGCTATGGGCCAAGTATTAGCCCCCTAGGCCTTCTAGTATTTGAGAAGAAGTTATTTAAAGATTTTGACATATTTGACCCCTGCGACCTTGAAAGTTGTTCAAGGTCATTCATTTAAATAAACTTGGTAGCCTTTCCTCCCAGCATGCTACAGACCCAATGTCGGCACTCATAGACTTTTGCTTATTGAGATGAAGTCCTTTGTATATTTTAACATATTTGACCCCTGTGACCTTGAAAGTGGGCCAATGTCATTCATTTGAACAAACTTTGTAGGGCTCCATGCCAGCATGCTATGGGCCAAGTATTAGCCCCCTTGGCCTTCTAGTATTTGAGAAGAAGTTATTTAAAGATTTTGACATATTTGACCCCTGTGACCTTGAAAGTTGTTCAAGGTCATTCATTTAAACAAACTTGATAGCCCTTCATCCCAGCATGCCACAGGCACAATATCTACACTCTGAGCCTTTTGGTTAATGAGAAGAAGTTGTTTAAAGATTTTAACATATTTGACCCCTGTGACCTTTAAAGTGGGTCAAGGTCATTCATTTGAACAAACTTGGTAGAGCTCCATGCCAGTATCCTCTGTGCCAAGTATTAGCCCCCTAGACCTTCTAGTATTTGAGAAGAAGTCGTTTGAATGAAAAGTTTACGGACGGCGCACGGCGGACGACGACGGACGAAGCATGATGACTATAGGTCATCGGACCCTTCGGGTCCACATGACCTAATAAACTTAATCTGGATATGAATCTGTGAAATAAATAGTTCCATAATCTGGGTTTAGCCATGAAGTAACTTCCTGAAGATATATCACGTATAGTAATTTCCAGGTCAAAAGACTGACCCATACCAAATATTGTTAATATAAATTTAACACCCAATTTATGACTTTCAGCCCTTCCCCTCTGACCCACTTAGGTTCACAACAATGAGATCTATTACATCCTATAATGCTACAGATTACACTGATCGAAATTTCATTATACACCGAGTTCCCTTTCACCAAGGATACTCTAGATCCTGTTCTGGATTAACCCATTTCTCTGACCTCTTCCTTCACTGATCTACATATACTCCTGTCTCTTTGTTTACACAATAACAGAACCTTCATCATTTGTTTCCCAGGTGTACAGTCACTTATTTGTATACAGATAATTTATTCCATGTCAATATATTTTTGACTAAAACTAAAGAATGCCTATAAGAGAATAATATTTCAACTTTCATGCATGATGTGACCTCTGACTCTTTAACTTTGACCAATGAACATCTCATTTAAATGCTGATGACATGAAGCTTCTGGATAAACTAAAGGCTATGACCTTGATTTGACATAGGATGGGACGAACCATATAAAACAGTGGGGGCAACACTTACCACAGAGAGTTCATGGGTGGAGAGCTCCTTCACCTTGGCCAGGTCAGCTACCTTATGGCGATGTTTGGCTTTTACCGTCTCATTGGCAGTTTTTGGTTTTGGAATTTTATCAATGGCGCTCTTCACACCTGTGTCCAAGATCTCATTCTTTTGCTGATCCTTGGTGGCAGGAGGGGGGTTCTCTGGGATGGATGGCTGAACTCCTTCTATACTTAGCCAGTGAGCTGCAACATCAGGCAATATCAGCATGAACTTGGATTTCTTTGTTTTGTAATGGATATCATAGGGATGTAAATACCTTTCAACAAAACACTTAACAATTTTCAGGGAATGTGCATGGTGAGTCTAGAGCATTATTTCAGTAAATGTGAGGAGTCCAGTTACAACGAGATGTCGTGAGTTTTCAGAATTTGAGTGAGTCCCACAGGAAAATCATCAATGCTTGACTCAAATGATCCCAAAAATCCTCGAAACATGTACACATATCTTAGTAAAGTGTAAAATACATAATGCATGCTCTAGTGTAGTGTAACTTGATAGTTACATGTTACAAGGTACACGACTTTTAAAATACATGGAAACAAACAGACCAAATGGGCCTGTTCTGCTATCCTGGAAAATAAGGCTTAAACATCTTACATCCCTACCATTTACTTTCATAAGAGGTTGAAAAGAAAAATGTTTACACTAATTTCAACAAAAGTTTACAATATGCAGACAACATCATGCCATATTTTCCAACAAATTTTTTGACAGGCATTTAAAACCTATCTTTGTTTTTTATTTTTCTCCGAGTCTGTTACAGCAGCTATATATACTTTTTAATATCTATGTGCACACCAATTGAATGTTCTTTGTCCTGGCAAGACCAAAATGGAGAAGACAGTAATTTTATCATCAATCTATTAGAGAAGTGGAGCTTTTACCCTTTAGAGACAAGTCCAATGGTACTTTAGGGAGAGAGGAATTGATGACATCTTGTAGATCCATTTCCTTCTCCTCAGTAAAGTGTAGCTCTCTCCCTCCTCCACTGGCGAACCGAAAAGGAATGAATTCTGTGGATTGCTGGAAGCCATACACTGGCTGTGGGAATATAAAATCAAATATTTAGTGGTACAGATCTTGGCTTCATAAAATAACATGCTTCAAAACCTCAATGTTGGTCAATTTTAAACAGAAACCAGGAAAGACATCATACAAAATAATGTTTGACAAAATAATGTTTGTTTTCTTGTAATTTTTTCAGCTTGGAAAACTCTCTATCATGTTATATAATTTCAAAGTTGATTTTGTTTTAAAGAGATCCTTTCAACTTCCTGTAAAAATTTTAATCAATATGTGGTTAAATTAAATCCGAAACATATGATACTAAACACTGAACCATGAGCCTTAAATCTTCAAATTGTTGGAAATCTTGTATAAAAGAACAGCAAGTTGACTGACACCTACCTCTATATTCTTAACTTTTAAAGCTTGGTCAAAATCAGCAGTTGAAAGTTTTCTCCTCTTTCCATGATGCATAAATTTGACAGCCTCCTACAATAAACACATCATATATTCATCAAACCAATAAAACAATGTTTCACCCATCCCACCCCAACAACACTTAAAAGGATAAAAAAAATCACACAATATAGCTTATTCCTTGTGAGTATGTGAAAGTTGACATGAAAACAGCTGGTTTGTTTTCCTGTAGAAATTAACATGTTACCATAAGTAAACACTACAAGTATGGAATGAAGAGACTCCATTCATTGGAGAATCTATCCGGATTTTTCAGATTCCTGATTCAAATTCACGTCTATTTCTAAATGTCTAGTTGTATTATTATGCTATAACATAAGGTGTTTCCCCATTGTTGTATCATCAAATGACAAACATGATATATGGTGAACCTCCAGTCTGTTCGAATAGATGGTAAGTTTAAACACATGCTTTCTTCAATAAAAAGAATAATTTTCAGTCTAGTGATAGTTCAAACCCTTTCTAGTTTGTTTCCCTTCATTTTTAATTGTTAGAATATATCGCAAGAAAGCACATATTACTATTGATAAAAGGAGTCACAATAATCCCTCCATACGGTCACTTAATAAGCAATGATGTGTAGTGTAATCCATTTCATATCATGTCATTATATCATGTGCATGCCCAATGACACAACTCTAGGCCCCAACTCTGTATAACAAGCTAAGCGACCAGTAAATATATACGGACCGTGGGATGTCCCTATGTGTTTTGTCAAACCAACAATGTTTCACTGCACATTTGATAAGATAATCACATCAAGATTGTCCCAATAATTGTAAAATTAAAAAAACAAATTAACAAACATTAATCTTTAGTCATATTAAGTCTCAATCAATCCACATTCTGCATTTAGACCAAAATTTACCTACATGGAAACAATTTGTATTCATGGTCAATATGTAGCTGATGTACATGTAAAGTATCATACTAGATATCATCCTAAATAATTTGGTATATTGCATATTATATCCATGCAAATGCAATAAGCCTAGAATGATAAACAAAATTAAATGTTATAATATCAATAGATAATTACTTATTGCATGTATGTTTGTAGATGAAATATTTATCGAAATGCTAGAAAGAAAGGTTAAATGGCCATGAGTTACCTGCAGTAACAACTTTATTCTGTATGTTGTGTCCTCGGCCAGGTGTACTAAAGCCTCATCAGGGATTCCTCCAAAACTGACAGACTCTGCAATCACCCTGACAGACTCTGAACTGAGGTGACTGCTGATCTTCTGTTCCTTGTGGTCTTTTTGTGCCATTTTTGCACAACGGGGGAACTGTTATATAACAAGTCACACCCACATGGACACCCACTGGGTGGTAGCGATCATGCTGCTACCTTGATATTTCCGTTCTACATTTGAACACCTAAAATAATAACATGACCAGTATTAGCTAACACATTTAAATGATAAGTTTTCGTGATAGCGTCATCGACAAATAAAGGTAAGCAATTCTTAAAAGTTCTATAATTTAAACTTTTTTGTAATCTTTAATTGATAAAAAACATTATTTATTTGCTTGCTTGCTAGCTCTACTGCCCTTTGAACAGCCTACAAACCAACGAACAGGTGTAGAAATAAGAAAACATACCATGGTATCCTAATGGATATAATTAAGTATCTTGGAAGCATTTGTGGTATCTTCAATATTGGTTAAAAATTGCTACATCTTCAGATCATGAGTTGTTTGAGCAGTGATAAGTTTTAAGAAATTGCCGTTGGCGTCAACGCATTTACAAAACAGCCGTAATAGTAATAAAAATTGACATTCGAAAAAACAATATCCAGAAAATGAAAAAGTGGATATGCCATGATGGATTACCCTAAAGGACATGTACATGCTGTCAGGAGCAAATGGAGTAAAATGTCTTTCTCGTGACAAGCTAAGGATACTGTCATGACAGCACAGAATGATACATGACATCAGCTTCCTGAGTATCAACAACAAAGTAGAAAACAAGCAACACAACCCAGTATATGACAATTAGGAGGAGTATCCACTTGCAAGGTTTTCAAAAACTAATTTACAATTCAAAGTTAAATTTGATGGGAAATTTTGCAACGAATAACGAAAATAAGATGTTTGGAAATACTGTGCCCCATAGAGGAAGTGATTCATGTAGGCTAGATTCAATTCAATTGAAAGGCATTCTAAAATATATCAAAGGTTTAGAAAAAATGTGGTATCCACTTCATAGAATTTTTTTTACCAAATTTCATATCATAATTGTCATCATCAAAGTCAAGTAACTCTGACAAATATCACCTGCAGTTTACCAAATTTCGCTCAAATCTGACAGTAGAAATTAAAGGTAGTTGACGGAGACAAAAAAAAAAAACCCTTCTTAATGACTTCATAGTTTTAAGTTCAACTCCGGCAAGTGTTGTTGAATTTAGACCAATATATAACTCATCAGAGATCTTGTCATACACCCAGAAACTCTGGAGCTCAGCTGGCAAAAAGTGCAACAGTTTCAGTATTCAATTCTGAGATAAAAGAGAGGCTGTTCTCTTAACAACAAATATAGCCAAAAAGCCGGTTATTCAGAACGATGTGTGGATATGAGCTTACCGCTTTTTGATGCAAATCCTGACCGGAAGTGATTTTGCACTGGTAGCGCCCTCTAGAAGCGTATGTAAATTACGACACAAAGCCGGAACAAAGTGTCTGAATTTGTTGTCAGGGCGATTTCCACTGGAGAACATTTTAAAGACCGAGATAATAATGACACTAAAGAAGCAATAACAGCTTAAGATATATTTAGACGAATAGCCATGACACATACCTTTCATCACAGATGTATTTTTATTTATTTATTTTTATTTTTTAATTATAGATGCTATGCTAAAGGACATGTTTAACGGTACATGTAATTTTGTCTACATCCCAAATATAATCTTTACTGCGTTTTATTTACAATACCTCAACAAACTCCTTAGAATGTAGCTTTAAAAAAATTCCAAAGTTACCTTTGGCCTGTATTACGACCTTTTTTATTATCCTTGTCGTGGCCATGAGCCGGGCCGGTGCACATCTTACCCAAAAACGTGTTCAAAAACATATATTAAATCGTTTAATTAAGACAAATCCATTTCATGAAAGTCTGATGCATGTTTTGACCTCAAATATAAAGCAAAATATTCCAAATATAAAGATTTATAGAAGTTTAAGTGGGGAAAACCCTAATTTTTAATTTTAAAAATCACTTTCTGTAGGTTAAGGAAAAAAAATTGTCTCCAACACGGAGAAATAAATAATTCACATATTATGACATTTGATACTGAACGGATGTCTACAAGGTTAAAATCCGCTAATCTGCCGAGCATTGGAGCGGTATGTGTCTGTTTAAGTTAAAACATAATTTTGATGAAGCTTGACATTATTCTAGTTCTCGACATCATTTACTACGTCAGGTGAGTGTAGTATCTGGGGAAAATCTAGTTATCTCAATCTTTTAATGGGATTTCTCCTTCAGGCATTGTCAACTGGAAACGTATACATATGATACTTATCAACTACATGTACCAAGGGGGAAATCCAGACTTTTTAAACAGGTGTGAAGCCCCTCATCGGTACTGAAATATGCTTAAAAACTAAACATTTCACGAAGACAAGTACCATTAGATTTCTTTTGTAAGAAAATCTGTCATTAACTGTAGATTTAAAACCTTGAGCACGTGAAGAAACGAAATTTAATTTACTTTAAATCGTATGAAACCAAAGAAGCCAACCATCGCCCTTTAAACATATTTAATTAAAACAAAGGAATTGAGCACAGGTTATTGAAATTATGTAAGGCACTCTTCTGCATTATTACAATTAGTTACAACTGATCAGATAGCAAACTTGTGCATAAATAATTATATATATATATATTACTATGCTACAATCATATACTAGATGGTAAATTTAAGGATAATCCCTTACCTCACAACTTTCGTATATTTACAATTTCGTTTCATACATACACCCGATATATACTAAACAAAAAAAGAAAGGTAACACTACTTTATTCTGTGATTAATTAATTAACCCCTTCATAAATCCTTACCAATCATGTACGAATAAAGTAATTGATCAATTCTGATAAAACAGCAGTCATGGTTCATTATAAAACTTTGCGTTCAGTTGATTTTATTCGACTGTAAAGGACGTTGGGGTCAGTTTCAAAGGTAACACCATTAGTAACGGGTATGGCCACCGTTTGCGAAGTAAACAGCATTGCAGCGTCGTCGCATGGAACTCGTAAACCGGCGGATAAATCGAGGAGATATGTTGTTCCATTCAGAGATCAAGGCTTGGGCCAGCTCCTGCAAGTTTGACGGCTGATTTTGACGTTCTTTCACGCGTCGCCCAAGAACGTCCCACACATGCTCAATCGGTGACAAATCAGGAGATTTAGATGGCCAATCTAACACCTGTACGTTATTCTGCTGCAAGAAAGTTCTGCTGACGCGACTGGTGTGCGCTGGTGCGTTATCCTGTTGAAAAATGGCGCCAACACCATGGCGTCTTAAGAATGGCAGAACCACTGGTCTTAAAATTTCGTCCCGATATCTAATGCCGGTTGAATTGCCATTTAACACAACAAGCGTGGTACGAGTCCCCCCACAAATACCACCCCAAACCATTACACTTCCGCCGCCAAAGCGGTCCCGTTCTGCGACGCAGCAGTTCGCAAAACGCTCCCCTCGTCGCCTCTACACTCTGCGCCTTCCGTCACCGTGTTGCAGACAAAACCTGGACTCATCTGAAAACAGAACATTGTTCCATTGTCGTAAGGCCCAACGACGGTGTACACGGGTCCAGTTACGCCGATTATTACGGTGACGTCGCAACAAATTGGGTCCAGTGTAGAGACGCCGCGCTTTCAATTGGTAGGCCCTCAACCTGTTGCGAACTGTTTGGGGAGACACACGACGCCCAAGCAATGTCCTTGTAGTCTCTACTGCGGTTACGAATCGATTGCGCAAGTGTATCAATCGTATACGACGGTCATCCCTGGCGGTCGTTTTACAGGGTCGGCCGCTTCGGGGACGACCGGATGTTGACCCAGTTTGGTTTAAACGACTTACCAACTGGCAAATTGTCTTAACACTGCAACCAAAATGCCATGCAACTCGACGGCGAGACTCCCCAGCCTGGATCATGCCTACAGCCCTTTCTCTCTGTACTTGTGACAGCCGGTGCATAATGATAAAGTTGATAGATAGCAGGAACAGTTGTCAGTTTGAATGTTTATGAAATTCAAGCGAAGATACATATTAGTCGCAGAAAGCAGCTCTTTCGCTAATACAGACTTTCACGCTTGGATGATTTTGGTGACCCCCTTGGATTTTGTAATGTAAAACATTACCATTTTCTAATATTGCACAAACGTCATTTTGTTTTCACTCATTTACAGGTCTTCGCCAAGGAAACATGTTAACCTTTCTTTTTTTTTTTGTTGAGCATATATATATTTATATCTTCACTGACGTTTTGTGATTGGAGACGATGTAAGAATTATTAAATTGATATTTACACTTCATTTCACATCTCAAACAACAAACGATTTAATTGTTTCATATCTAAATGGTTCTTTTCGGAACAAAATAGAAAAATACTATGTGGACTCCCTTCAATAAAAGAAAAAAAAAAAACCGAAAGGCTCATTCGATCCAAGAACTTTGCAGCTGAGAGCAGGAATCTAACCACTGTGCTACCGTTACGTTATTGATTCTAGACCTATTAATTGTAGAATTTGAAATGTAAATGTTTCTTTCAAAAAAGGAAAACTGAAACATGATTGTCTCTTAAAGTTACTATTTATGATAATAGAATTTCCACTGGAAGTTTTAGACAAGGGAGAATTGTCCAGTCTCTTTCGATCACTTTGGATTTGCGTTAGTAGCCTCTTGGACTTTGAAAGTTTATTCCCTTGATATTACTGATGAGAAGGGCTTACCTGTTGAAAGGTGGATTGGCTCTGCTGTGTTTTTGTAAGGACATTGTGACGTTTGAAGGCTTCCCTTTTGAAGCGGAGACACTCCCACCTTCCACCCTTTTGTGTATTTCTTATATTAGGTCTATTAAATTACCTGTATGAGTTTACACTCATTTGCATACATGGTACAAAGTTTCACATAAAAATTCAATGCAATTAACAAAACCAACCTGTTGAGAGGTATTCATGGTTAGAATAACAAATAAAGTAGCAAAATTTTCAGGAAAAAGCTGAAATATGGTGAGATTTCGAAGCTATTAAGTTCATTTGCAACTAAATTTATGTCTAAGGGATACCCTGGGTTATGTCCCCTTAGAGCTAGTCGCGGCGTCGGCACGTGAGCGTACAGGTAGAATGGGATCAGTCATGGATGAGTGAT